GTTGAGTAGGTCGACCGCATAGCCTCTTACCTCAGTCTCATCAACTATAGCTGGTTGGCATCTGATGAATTCTTCCCACGGATTCAGAAAGCTCTGTATGCTTTTACAAACCTACATCACTTGTGTAGTAGGTGAGATGTCTTTCTATCAACCAGGAGGCAAGTACACTACACAACAATCCACTCTGCATTACTCTTTGGCTGTGAAACATGGTCTTTGAAAGTAGAAGGCATGTATGGACTGCAGGTTTTTAACCATAAGTGCCTTCACAGCATTGCTCACGTATTGTATAATAACTGAATGTTAATGTTTAGTCTCCTTCCCCATTAATGCCGCTAATGCTATTTTGGCTCACCTACTAATCATTTTGTTAATTTTGTTTCATCATGCCCCTTGTTGCTCAGTAGTTATCCATCCATCTGGTCAGTTCGTGAAGAAAATTAACTTCAAACTGAATTAGTCTGCACGAACCATCATCTTTTTGTCGAAATAAAACTAGATAAATTTCACTATATATATATATATATTAAATAGGAATAATATATTTGTAAAATCTCAGCGAATGAATTTTTAAATTAAATCCAACGTTTCGCCTGGCAATCTGGTCCAAGCTTTTTCAAGGAATTATAATCAAACATCAAAAAAGGATAATTTTGATGTTTGATTATAATTCCTTGAAAATGCTTGGACCAGATTGCCAGGCGAAACGTTGGATTTAATTTAAAAATTCATTCGCTGAGATTTTACAAATATATTATTCCTATTTAATGTCTTACTTCAACTCGGCGCTCAAATACTGTGAAACTATTCGTTCTAATTTAGACGAGAGTTCTTATATATATATATATATATATATATATATATATATATATATTATTTTATTTAAACACATAAATATTGGTACAAGGAAACACCAGATAAATATGCGCCATACAAATCTCTTTCGATTTGCTTGAGGGCTGTGATACTGCCCAGGTGCCCGAACTGAAGCAGATGGTTTTCTTAGTGGCCCACACCCGGAGCCTTTGACCGAAAGATCTGATCCACAAGGCAGTGGAGCATCGTGAGGAGATGCAGTCCCATGGTAGCCGTTGACCAACAATAGGTTCATACCCCATTCGTTCCATCAGGATACTGGAACCCATGTGCACTATTGGTTTGGAATCAGGGTTTCCCAACTCCCCTAGGTGGACTCGCCTTGTCCACCAACCCGGTTAAAGCACCGGACATTCGCTTTTCATCCTCTCAATTTCGTAAACAACACCTTTGCCATGAGAAGGCAGTGAGTAGGACTTACCTGATAGAGGCTATATATTCGCTGGCCAAGTGAGAGCATTTGGAGAGGGAGAGCGGACTCTCCCCACTCTCGGCCGTACCAGGGCATTATATATATATATATATGCATCGGTCTAAGTCATCACAATGCGCCAGTTCGACGAGATGAGATTATCAATTATCTCAGACCAGCATAAGTAGTAACAGTATCAGTAACAACAAAAACGATTACCTACAGACAACATGATTCTATATACATGGCTCAGTCCAGCAGCCAGTGACCCCATGAGCTAACAACTTCTTGGTTTAGTCATCCTACCTTCTTGTACCAGCGGACATCGTTCATCCGGATAGGCGGGAGGTGGGCATAAGTTATACACTTCCCACCCACTTCAGTAAATGAAAATTTGCTACCTTATCAACCAGTTTTTCATTGTTATCTAGTACTCAAAATCTAACTACAGCATTACTTACTCAGTTGTTCCAGCATACGTGAAGAATACCTTCAAGGCAGCTGTGATCAAATATTAATGATCTATGAATGTTCTTTATTTTCACAACCGCGAAGCAGGACAGAACAAACTTCTCCGTAGAATACTCGTCTCCTTATTTATTTATAATTACTCAAACACATAAACATTGGTACAAGGAGGCATCAAATGGATATGCACTACATAAATCACTCGATTTGTGTGAGGGTTGGGATACTGCACGAGTGCCGAAACCGAAGCAGGTGGCTTTCTTAGGGGGCCACACACGGAGTCTTTAACCTAAATGTTTAATCCACAAGGCAGTAGAGCCACGTCAGGAGATGTAGTCCTGTAGTAGCCGGTGACCAACGATCGGTTCATACACCACTTGTTTCTTTAGGATCCTTGACACAATGTGCACCATTGGTTTGGAATCAAGGTTCTGCAACTCCCCTAGGTGGACAATCCACGTCCACCAACCCGATTAAGGCGCCGAACATTCTCTTTTAGTCCTCTCAATTCCGTGGCCAGCACCCCCACCCGTGAGAAGGCAGTGAGCACGACTTCCCTAGTAGTGGTTGTATGCGTACCAGGAGATTTGGGGGCCAAACTTCCATGAGGCTCAAACTCTCAATGAAGATTTCAATCAAATAAGTAATATCGCATCAATTTATACTATATCAAATAACCAAAATAATAGAGAATATTATCATTTCACCGTTGTGAACTTATCTCCTGATAATTAATTATCGAATTACAGTAATTAACCTTTAAACTTAATTTGAACTTAAGAACGAATGTTCACTTTAGAAAAACACTTTAGAAAAACTATGATTAATAACCATGTCAATAGTTTAGTCTATTCATTGAAGATAATTATATTGCATTAATTACTTAAAACATTGATGGACCTCTTGTAAATTTCAACAAGAATGGCGTTGCACTTTAAAATTTATAGCTGACTAACAAAATACGAAATTCAACTTTGTCTGTAATATGGTAAAGAAAAGGGTCCTTATACTTTTTTTCACCTGTTCAGCTGTAATGACATTTGGAAATGACCATTTCTTAATTATTAGGAACTAAGTTTAGAACTTTTGTTTAATGTTCAAAGTTTAAATTATTCGACTATTTCGTGTACTATTGTCATGTCATAGACAAAATACTGAACTATATTCTCAGAGTCAGAGAGGCCGAATGTAATATTAGAAAGTTACTTAGTTGGTGATTGACACTATTATGGTCTCAAACCCAAAGGAGAAAAGTTGATAAGACCTTGAAATTTCAACTAGAAATTTTGTAGTTGAAACTATTGAGACATGTAACATCAGGGATTATATATGCCATGATTACAGATAGTAGATTCACTATTCTGCTGTATTTCGTATGATTCAAGTTCTTCTGACTGTTAATTCGGCAAATTCCGTATTGATATAACTAATAAAGGTAAAATAAAAACTTTACTTTTTATTCAAACTATTAATTCATCTACATCCAGAGTAATTATCACAACTGAGTCAAAACTCAATGCTCGAAAATTCTAAGTTCAGTCGATTCACTTTGTAATGAAACAATTATTCAGTGCAATTGCCAGACAATTTCCTCCATTCTGACATGGTTGGACTCAGTGAATCACTACGGATCACTAGTACTCCACGAATCGATCTTAAAACCATATATTATCAAGAATATTACAGCACACATTACGTCTGTTACCCATCATGGAGCATAGGCCACCAACTTGAAATCACCAACCTACTCTGTCCTGGACTGTCTTTTCTACTTGTTTACAACTGATATTCATTTTTTTGAAGCCTGCCTCCAGTTTTCATCAGTTCTATTCCAGAAAAAACATATCGCAAATCAAGGTAGATGGACGAAAACAAACTTATTCAAAGTCTTAACAGATTCTCAGTGGTGATCTAACTTAGATAACATCACGATTTTAATCGAATTAATAGAATCACAAAGAATTTTTATGAGTCGAAGTTCGTGAAGTGTTCATATAGAAGATGTTGACTTCATTTTTCTGTATGAAGAAATAAAGAATGAATGTAATATTCATTGGATGATAGAATGAATTATAATTTTACTACAATTAATGTCACGTTTAAAAGTAATTGAGAAACGAGTATTTACTCATCCGGACTCAACTAAAGTTGAGGAAGATAAGGTATCTAGTATTTAAGTGAATAAATGAAAATGAACCAACATATTTAACACATTGAGTAGACATCATAGAAGTTATAGCTATCTACTGTCTTCAACATCAGTGATAAAGAAACCATCACAAATAGTTTTGAATAAATACTGGGGACATAGAAAGACCGTTTGAAGTTGTTCAGTGACTTCTTATAATCATTGTCATCTAGTCACGTGAAAGAGCAATTCAATAGAACATGAAATCGTTTAAAATAGACATTAACAGTACAGACGATAGATAATTTTACCAATCATAGTAAACTAGCATTGATTTTAAAGTTCCATATAAGTTTGCAGATGACTGTAAATTCTTTCAATCATGTTTGTTCACAAAGGGTCTTTCTAGATTGTTTTAATCTACTCAACTTGATAAAAAATGTATTAATCCTAGCAATACGATTTATATTCTAAAACAGTTATTCTACGTAGCACACCATGTAGTTAGATTTTAAAATTGTAATTAGATATCGATTTTCAAAGGCATATTAATCATATATTGGGTTGACAACTTAAAGCTTCTAATCCCAAGTCTGGCTGTTTTTAATTGTTATTAATTCAATGTAAGTGATTATAATTTACTTCGATTGTGTACTGGTGTAAACCGAAGAGAACTACCCAGGTATTTCATTTTAGTATGGGAATTGTCAGGAGCGTGGACCTACAGCCCCTCTAAGTGTCCAAGTCAGGAACTCCAGGTCTCGCGTCGAACACAATAATAAGAATCAATGGGTCGGTCTAGCCGTACCATTTCGATTTCAATCAATTTAAGATATAAGGTGACACTCTTCGAATACCATCAGTGATAACTGTTTCACTTCCGAAATGTCTGAATTGTGGAAATTCATACTTGGAAGAAGGAGCTACTCAGCCCTCCCTGATTTTCAATGATAACTAAGAACAATCTGTGATGAATATAATCTACAAAAAGTATCTGTCTCCACGAAACCTCTTCAAGTAAATTATTACTCACGTAAACAGTAATAGTAATAAAAACAATTTATATCAAGTCTGGTATTTAAAAATATTAGTCTATAATAATTAACCAATACATACTTGATGTTTGGATTTTCAGATCAGGTTTATAATTCACTTCGGACTGAACATAATTATAACAATTTTGTAATTGAGTTGACCTGTAATTTAAATTTTCTGTAAATGAAGTTCTTGGTTGATTATTGTTATTAGTATTATTACTAGCACTGCTAATGTTGCTGTTATTCGTGTTTAAATTATCTACGGTATTTTTTAGATTTACATCATTTACATGACTTGATTGATGATTTACAGATGTACTGTTATTAAATCCAACCATGATAATATCGGTTGTAGAATGATGTGTAGTATTTATTGCAGGACTAGTATTATGATTGTGTTTAATTGTGTTACTTTCTTGAAATCTTGGTTTAACATCTTCAAGAATGAATGAAGTAACTAAACCATTATGATTTTTTAAATTATTTGATTGTACAGTATTTGAATGCGAAATAATGGAATTATTTACACTTTGTAATTGTTGTAAGGGATATTGTTGCTGTTGACCAGATTGATGAAGTTTCAATAAATTATCATCTATTCTTAATACATTATGGTTATTATCATTATTATTAGTATCACTATTACTGGTATTGTTAGTTACATTATCAGTATCATTATTATTACTAGTAGTAATTGTATTAGTATTAGTGGTATTAGGTTCATATAATTGTGAATTAGTATAATTTGTCAATTGATCTATACTTCCATTTAAATTAAATTCAAGTGAATTCCAATGATTTAATGTACGTATATTTAAACAATTTAAATTTTTTAATTGTTCTGTATTACCATAATTTAATGAACCATTTTGATAAATATAACTCATTACGTTTGATGCAGCTGCTACAGTAGAATCAATGGATGAACTTGTCATGAGATCTGTTGATAAAAACGATTCCGATATACAATTTGTTAATGATGGAAGTTGGATTTCTGTTGTTCTGTTACTATTATTATTATTATTATTATTATTATTATTATTATTATTATTATTATTATTATTATTATTATTGTTATAATCATTGAATGAAGATGATATCATAGCATTATTATTTATCTGATTACATAGAAAATTTAATTCAATCCGTGGATCTTGAATATGTTGTTGTTGTTGTTTTTGTTTTAATTTGGATTGATTACTATATGATGTTGTTATAATATAATTTTGACCATTATCATCAATATAAGTTGTGATACCTAGTTGATCAGATAGATCTAATGAATTACAATTATTAGTTAACTTTATTTGTGATGATTGTGAAATAGATGCAGAAGAATTAGTATAACTTAAATCATGTGGACTATCAAGTGTTTTCAATAAATAATTTTGAATTTTCATATAATTTGATGGGGATGATGTTGATTGTTGATTGGTTAATAAATTTTCATTAGCGTCTATATTTTCATTATTAATTAGTATATTGGATGAATTGTCTATATTGCTAGATAACTGAAATGATACAGTTTGCGGATTGGTTGATATATTTTCTGTTAAACTATTTGTTCGCATAGTATATTCATATGAAGAGAGAGAATTATTAGAATTTTGACTAGAGGGTAGAAAATTATGTATTGTAGATTGTGGATGAATATCTATTGTTGATATATTATTATTATTCACTCGATTGATATCAACAGTAGATGTTGATAAACTAGATCCAGATATACTTTTAGATAATGGATGAAGTAATTCTTTGGTAGAATCTATTAAGTATAATGTTTCAAATTTATCTGGATATAATTTATAATTTTCATTAGATTGATTATCTTTACTATGTTCTTGTTTTAAATTTTCTATGTTTTTAAACATATTACGGTATATATAAAGCTATACTATTAATAATAATGATATATAATGTAGATGGATATCTCATTACAATCGATACGAAACAGTTTGTATTGTTCAATAAAGTCCATCAATATCATCTATGTAATCGTACATTCATCTGAATACATGTGAATATATTAAATCAGTAAATAAATTATTAAGTACCTTTCATATACATAAAGTAAACTAATTGAAGTCAATATAATCATCACAATTCATTATATATCATAATAATAGTCTAAATTGAATGCATACCAATCTTCTCCAGTGAAATGAGTATTCATATTATGCATACAATTCATTAAATTACCTGGCTAATTAATTGATTTGAGAATTCAAATAATAAAGTTAATCAATCATTACTTCTAATTGTGTATTTATGTATTAATACTATAAGAATACATACATTTCTATGGGAGCGAACATACATAGAATATATAATTATTGGTCAAAATAGTCTACATAATCAAAACTAATTCTTTTAACTGGTCAGCTTATATATATATATATAGACTGGAAGAAGAATCAGTGATAAGCGTTTCGTCCTATTTCAAACCTGTCACCTGAATGTACTTTCATCTCATTGTTGATGTTCACATCAAAAATTGAATCAACTACCTGTCTCGCCAAACATCAATCCCTGACCAATTTCAAACTTTATTATCAATAACGGGAAAGTACAAATCCTTACATATAATTTCATAGAGGTTGAAAAAGTTAGTATTGATCTGAACTCAACGTTTTTATGTATACGTTGATGTTTGGAATGATAGGTATTGAATTCAAGTCCCTGCGTAGACATCTAAAATGGAATGAAGAATATTCAGATGAATGGTCAAAAACAGGACGAAACGTGTGTCTTGGATACCACTGCTAGTCATAATCCATATTTGCTAAAAAGTTATAACTAAAAAGCAGTATTGAGTCAATCCGCTCATGGTGCACCTATCTCAATAGAAATCGACCAATTGCAGACCTAATATCAATAATAAGGCAATACAATTCCTCACAAAAGGAATTACATCCTTTGAAAGTATGTGAATATAAATTCAGGTTAAATAAAAAACCAGTATATCTATTGTTATGTAAAAGCATCTAATTTACCCTGTCTTCATTTATTCTCTATCAAGTATGTAATTTCAAATAGATGTATTGTTATATCCAACTAGATTCACTGATATCTATGAGGTTATACCATAGAAGAAACATTAATCATATTGTAAAGAATCTAAATGATTTTTATTTCATCAGGTAATTAATACAAATTTAAATTACTCTTTTATAAGGTATATATCACAATATGAAAATCAGGAAATGAATAGTTCCAAACAATGATTAAGAAGCAAATTTTAGATGATCAAATATAGATAAAATGAATAAATAAGACATACATGTTACTTATTATCTAAATAATTATGAACTAGATCAGAGGGGTTTTTTGTGGAGATTTTTAGTAATTTCTTTCTATATATATATAGTTGAAATCATGAGTCAATTGAAGCTAGACCACCATCGAAAACCTGGAAGCACTGGACGGCCGTTTCGTCCTATTATGGGACTCAGCAGTGCGCATCCACGATCCCGCACTCGCGAGATTCGAACCCAGGATCTAGCAGTCTCGAGCCAGAGCCCTTAACCTCTAAACCACTGAGCCGGCACTCAACGGTGTTAATGTCTAACTTCAACTGATCCACGATTTTGAGCGACCGTTCACCAATTGTCTTCAGTGAGTTGATATTTATGAAAAATATGAACTATTAAAAATTCCGTTACAAGAATCATTCTTTAATTTACAGTACAGCAATATATTGTACATGTCGCAAAATAACTTGGAAGTTCATCTTAAGTATAGAGTCATGTATACACACACTACTAAACTACGGTGAACTACTCGTTCACTACCTCCGCGATTTTCAACAATTCCTTAGTCGAATTTAGATTGTGATGAAAAACCTAACGATATAATTTGCTGAAAGAATTCACCATATCTTATTATTCATAAGGGTTTGAATCATACCCTTGTTGACAGTGAGGATTGGATTTTGGTCAGTCTTTGATAATATTTGTGAATAGTATGTGGATCGTATTGATGTTATTTGTTTTTCACTCTTGTGAATGATAATATCACAGTCACTGGACAAACTAGTGGCTAACTGGACCCAGTAACTCAATGAATGATGCGTTAGCATTAGAAACAAAAGATGCTAGGTTCCGATTTTGGCATAAACACTTATAATAATATGGAAGAAGATCCATCGGATAAGTCTCGAAATAGGACATAAAGTTCATCAATAGTTCCATCGCCAGACACTAGCCATCTATTCTGTAAAATTTACTAGATCAATTGAAGTACAATAATGATTTATTCTACATCGTTCAACTGAGCTCATAAAAACAATAAGAATCCAATTCAATCTACCAATGAAAAGCAAAAAAAACATCTATTCGGTATTCGAATCAGTTCAGATCTTCCTAGGTGGGGTTGCTAACCCCATCCGGTAGAAAACAACCTAGCCAAAAAACTGCTAACCAATGTCGAGGCGGCTTCAGAAGTAATAGGCCTCACCATACACAAAGCAAGAACAGCATTCCTACAATTAAAGAACATACGGAACTAAAAAACTATTAACCAATATCAAAGTCAGAATCTTCAATACGAACTTCAAGACAATTCTATTGTACGGAGTTGAAACTTGTAGAACTACCGTAACCATCATAAAAAAGTACGAATATTTATAAACAAATGTATACTTAAGGTACTTAGTGTCAGTTGACCGGATACTATCAACAACAACTTGGATCGATGCATAAATGTGCCTGGTCCTACGTTGTAGCTGACTGACTGACAAACCAGCTTCCAAATGAAGAGGAAATTAGAGAAAGATGCTGGAGATAAATAGGACATATATTGTCGAAATCACTAAACTACATCATGAGGCTGGCCCTAACTTGGAATTTTCAAGGCTAAAGTGAAAGAGATAGACCGAAGAACACATTGCGACATAATTGGAGGGAGACATCAAAAGGATGATTGGCATTTGCAAACAACTGGAACGGAGAGCCCAGGACCGCGTAGGTTGGAGAATCCGGGTGGGAGGATTATGCTTCTCCATGAGTGGTAACAGACGCAAGTAAGTAATATATTACAATATCAATAAAATGTTTAGGGTTAAAGGATTTAACGGAGATATGCATTTCAATGGGGACCCTTTATGACTATTATACTATAAAGATAAAAATAGCTAGTTATTGAATAGTAGTAATTAAAGGTAATATGATTTTTTTTAGTATCTTGAGTTCATCATTTTCCGCATTCAGTAATATTCTCACGGTCCAGTCTATTTTAAATACGTATTTTCCTGAATTCTGAAGACTTATAGAAGGCTCCCAACTATGTGTACCAAATTAACAACTTCAAATGGCTTTTATTTACATGATAATACATATTCGCTTTGGTCAAATCATTAATTAGAAACAATCCACTGTCCACATTCCTTATTATTTTCCTTTTTTATTCTTTGAATGTTGTCCAAAAATATGAATAATTACAAGACTATCTTCGAATTAAATTCTAAAAAAAAACATATAATAACCTTAAATCATGATTAATGTTAAGTGTTAACAGTAGTCTATTGATATGTACTATTTAATAGAATCAGTGATTTGGAATAATTTGGTCTTATTTTCATTTATTTATCAATTGTTCTTCATAGTATGCTAGTTTTCTATCCCTGAAGTATTTGCAGAGTATGTGTCTTTTTTCTTCTTTCTATGAACTGTTAAAATGACGACTCTTTTATGGAAAACAACGATTTATCATTGATTTTGTCTTGTCGTTAATTAGTCTGAAAAGAAAATCCATATTCACAACATAATTATTTTGTATGAAGAAAACATACACACATAAACACCTATTTTTGTGACGAGGTTTTAAAACAGGAAACTACTGTAACAACATAAACCCACTAGTTATAAACCTATAACTAAGATTATATAAATGAGCCAGTAGAAGTATTACATTCAGTAAAGTGTCAAAGAAATCCAAAAAATATTTGGAAATGTAGCTTACAGATTATACATTCTGATTATTGTACGTTATTCATCGACACACCGTTAATGACTTCATTCAAAGATAATATAAAACAGAATGTCTGTGAGGACTCTCAACTTTCTTTTTAGGGAAAATTATTCTAATATTAGAAGTATATATATATATATATATATATATATATATATATATATATATATCACTAGCATACTGATTAAAATTGTTTTTACACCTCACTCACATTTGTGTGAAATTAGATAATAAGCTGACTAATTTGATGTGGAACTTACTTTTCAAACAATTCACTTGGCGCGAGATTAAGTTTATATTAACTAAACGGTATTAGGAATAAAATGTTAATTGTCTCTTGTTAGTATATGATAATGCAAAGGACTTCGCATGTTAATAGTTCATATTATACCATTCTTTCTTGATAGATTTTACGAAACTGGGCGAAACATTGGAACCATTTTGTCTTTTTTTTAATAACTGCTAACATCTTTACAAATGTAATTCATATTCGGATTCCATTTATGCACGGTGTTATTTATTTTTGTGTAATTAATCATTCAAGCTTTGTTGATAGCTCTTAAAATTTCGTAAATGAATTCAAATACGATTATTTTGAAATCAACTAGCCATTGATTAAATTACAATATTTCCAGTAAAATATCATAATCGAAGTTCCTATTCATTTTATATACTATATTACCCAAATAAACGTTGATTAGTATAACCTGACTATTATAAGTTTTACAAGTGATATTTATTGAAACAAAACAACTAATAACCTACCGACTGAAATTAGCGACTAACTCATAAATTTGCGACACCTATTTTCAAACTGCTCAAGTATCCCACTAAATCAACCGACTCTAAATTTGTTTAAGCTGAATGATTATGAACGCTAATTGTACATTTTCGCGAGTTGCTATAAAAAGGGCTACAAATTATTGTAATACAAAATACTGGAAAATCTAATCGTAAATACTTTAGTTCTTGATTTTTTTCTTCTTTATTATTTATCCTTTGAAAAAAAGTGACAAATATACTGAAGTTCAAGCACCTTAAGTTATGATGACAAATTAGTTGTAGCAGCTGAACGGATGGACAATCCGCATCATTGAATACTGGTACCTGATACTGACTGGTAGTAACACTTTTAAAATATACTCTGAAAAATTACGATTTGAATACATATCGTAGTATTGTACAATTGGTGCTGAGAAATTTTTATCCTCAACAAAATTTATAGTATTGAATCAAGTCATTATTATCAACCCTATTGAATGAAAAAGCGTTCGCACTAAACAACAATCAAAATTACAATCTCTTAATAAACTTCCATACTAGTAATATATTTCTGAAGTGTGTTTTGTTGATTTTTGAGATATAAAAAAGTGCTGTTGTATAAGAGTAGTTATTGACAGTTGACTGTGTTTATTTATATTTCTACGTACAACATATTAATGGACTGATCATGTCGTTAGTAAACTATAGCAAAAATTAGAAATTTCAAAAACAATTTAATGTCCCAAGCTAGACACAAAATTTACAAATAAATTATCCCTGAAATAAATGTTACTCCCAAAATATGAAATAGGATATTCGCTTTTTTTTTAATTATCAGCTCTATACTAAGAAACTATTCACCAAATGACATTCCCGTAGTAATTTACTGTATTGATTTTTGCAATAATTTTCAAGTGGTTTTCATAAAAATATTTTTATACATCATTAAATACTTTGCATACAAGTCAGAAGTGTAAAGAATCCAAATTTCCCCGGTAAATTTTCACGTTTTACAGGGATACCAATCACATGTATTATAAGTCTTATCGACAAAAAACCCTTTAAGTACTCAAGATGGTATCTAGGTTGTTTCTTTCTCCAAAATAATTTCGTTTGCTGTAGTTACAAAAATGCTACTACACAGTTGCGTAGTATTTGAAAATTAATTCGGTTTGAAGGTATTTTTCGTCACGAAGTGAAATCACTAGCTTGCCATTTCTTAGCAATAAGTATACACGACATCCACGCAATCAAGTGGTGAATGCAGCCCCCCCCCCCAAAATTTGGTCAGAATCTCCTGACGTATTTTCGTGAGTCGATTTTTAAGCATATATCATAGTTCTCAGAACACTTTGCTAATGGTTGTTATTGACTTTTGAACATGCAAATTTAAATAAACAATTTGATACCAGTGTTATTCAGCGACTCCAAATAGTTGGTAGCATTCGATTAGAACTAGATTAAAATTAAATTTTAAGAAAATTTACCTGGGAAAATTGTTAATTTAACTGAATAATAAACGAAGACCAGAGAGCGTAATTATACAATTTTACGACTCTTGGCTGGTCCTAAACTAAAAGTATGTGACATTACCACCTTATTCTTGCATTGCGAATGAAGACCTTTTGGAGAAGAATAAATAATTGTCACACAAATTATAAGAGAACTTTCCATATTTAAATGCATTTCGAACAAATGTGTTTAGCGGGAATGAGTGTTTTGTTGTATGTTAAGAATTTAGAAATAGATGTCAAGTAAAGCCTGAACTCCCGAAATGTTTCACCAATCATACGGACTAAATATTACATTGGTTTACTGCCATTTTAGTTCTCTTGTCAAAATAATAGATATTAGCATACGATAACGCTGATCTTATATTTACAAAGAATTCTTCTCAACTCAACTTATATGCATTAAACGAAATGCGTCATGATTTCAAAACACTCTTGCTAACGCCGTGACATTTCAGAAGTCTTCAGGATTGCATTGTCTCTTTAGTGTTTATTCTCTGAAATACTGGAAACTACCAACACCGTTACGCCAACGGGGTGTGATGACGTAGAGTCCGTGCATGTGTTCATATTAGGTAGCTTTTCTATAGACACTCATGATAAGTTGCTCTTCCGTGGAATGTGAATTTATCAGTATTTAAACAAAATACTGAGTGTTACGATGACGTTGATTACATTCAATGAACACCTAAATATTAAAAGTGATTGAGAATAACAAATAAGACGAATCGTTTAGTTAGGAAATCACTTCCTTTCTAGCTTAAAATCCTTTCGCAGTGTGCATCCATGACGCTACCCCTAGTTGTTTTCATTACTGACTAGTTTACACATAAATTCTTAGTCACGGTGAGAAGTCGTGACTAATGGAGTCAAACTATTCTATGAGTGAGACAGGTATCACAGATAACAACTAATGATAGTTACACTATATCGTTAACTGAGTGAATTCGTGGATCATTGGACGCCGACTTACGAACCTAAAGGTGATATGTTTACGATAAGCTCTGAAGGTCTCTTGCCCAGTTTCCAGTAGGATCGTAAATGCATGCTACAGGAGTTCTGAACTACAGCGAAACAACTGCCACGTGCTGCTCAGTTTTCAATGGTTCTCCAGTTGATCAGTCGGTTACGAAAAATATCTCCAAAATACGAGATTATTTTTGAACTCTCATTATTCAGTGAGGCAGCATAAAATGGATTAACGTCACGGCATTTATCCCTTTGAGATTTTAATGTGGAAACTTTCGATCTAAAACCATGTGCACCTCTAAGCAATGTTTTATTTCCTGTGGTTTCAAAATTGATTTAAACATTAAATACGGACCTGGTTAGGACAGTCTTTTTTAACCTCTCAAAATCCTCATGCCTAAAGAAGTGTATTGAAAGACTGAAACTGACGGCCTATGAGTTTTATATCTACTATACTGTCAACTGAGATGGAGGATAGAAATGCTCATTAAACCCTAATTTAGCCCGGACCTTGAGCATCGCATTCATTTATTATCCAAAAATAACACAAGCCTGTTTGCACTATAAAGTTCCAGACTTTTACTAAGGTTATTCAGTTTTATTCCAAGATAACTAAAATTAAGCAAAAAATCGAACAATTGTTTAATGTGATGACAATTTATAGATTGTAGGTATGAATCTGTCAACAAGCAACGATTTTGAAAAATTAAAAAGATTTTTATATATAGTAATAATATTATACAGGTTGTGAAGATATACATATTTTCAAAGGGTAAATGAGAATAATATGTATTTAGCACATTGCTCTCCGTTGATATTCTGCCGTCGCTACAGTGTAATCTTCAAGTCGGAAGTAACGACCTTCATTCTGTCTTAAAAATCTATCACATAGAAGTATGAAACAAAAAAACAAACGTTTATTAATCAATGACAACTAAGTAGTGTCTTAAATAAAAATATATATGTAAACACTCTAATTAGGAATAGCTTAAACTATAGTCTTTTTAGACGTGCCGACAACAAAAAAGTTGAGTTTCTGCAAGTAAAATGTATTTATGACTCGCATAAAATGTGTTTATTTCTTTAAAGATGAAGTTATATGACAGTAGAGGAAATTCACATTACACATTAAGTAATTTAGTTCTAGACTGAGAACCATTGAATAGAGAACATAATTATTGTTCCAAAACAAATGAGTACCTTATAGCTGTTTGAAATAGACCCTACTTAATTATTGACAATATTTTACTTCCTTATTTTTGTTATTACATCTTATCCAAAATATGAGGTGTTATGGAAGTTAGGAAACAGAAGCATCGCATGTCCCAACTTTATATATATCAAATGCCTATTCTTAAATAAAGTGTTGATATCCAACGAATTGTATCAATACACACACACTTTGACGTGTAGTTTCTTCCAATAATAGTTAATAGTTTTCATAAAACTTGTTTTCTATGAAATCTGAGGAAGACATGCGTCATTTATGCCAGAGTGATAGTTTGAGTAAGTCTTCGTAGTAGTAACATTAAACACCTGAAAGAGCAGTAGTGGTAACATATACATGAATTATGTAATAGAAGAAAACCTAAAGACCTAAAAGACAATACTTACTGCAAGAATTCGTTGACCAATGCTTCTAAAAAAGGCAGACTATTTACATCGACTTTGGTACAAGAAACCATGTCCCGAAGCTTAACTGCAACAGAAATACATATATGAACTACAGTGAAACACATACAAACTAAAATAGTTATAAGTTGTTCATCATATTTGTCTAAAGGTAATAGATTAAGACAAAAGATTTTAATATAATGGACAGACTTTGACGGAAGAAGTAAACCCTTACACTAACAAACAACAAAAGAACACTCCAGTCTTGACAACAATGATAAGAGTGGAAATGGAATAATTCAAGGGAACTATGAACAATCTAAACAACCAATTGCTCAGTCACTATTAAAATGTCAAACATATAAAGGATCAGTTAGTTTCTTCTCACTAAACTTGAATCACTACTACCGTAGATTTATATACAGACTTTGTGAACTCCAAATAGCCTAATATATAAGAAAAACATAGCAAGGGTGTTAGCAGATTACTAGTCAAAAGAATATTGATGACACCGCTGTGATATGGAATAAAAATATGTTACACCTGACTATACATTGGAGCGATTTAACTTTTACCAACACGTCGTAAGTTTATGACTAATGAGTTAGATGAAAATCATCTTGATATGAGTGGCTTTTCATAATTTAAATTCAGAATAACGGAATCATAAGCGCATATTAGAAGTGTTTCTGAGTGCATACATTTGAAAAATCAATTAACGTAAATAAATTCTTCACGTCCTCGAAAACAACTTTTTTTCAAAAGATACCTTTTATTCGTTAACCAATGGTATGATAAACCAAAGTGCCGTTTGGTGATTTACGTAAAAGAAAACTTGAAAACTACACATTGAATTGAAGGACGTACCAAACAGCCTTAATAAGTGAATTGAACCATAAATATCTGACATTCTTTTATCTGTGTGACGCTTTAAAAGTTCAGCATATTGTAACCGTTCAAATTTATATAGAAGATGAGAACCGATAATCAAATTAAAGTAATGCTGAATCCCAGCGAGAAATTCACGTCTTAAATCAGGTCTTATTGCAGGATTTATATTATGTTGAGCATTTTGAGGTTCAGAAGTGGGTTCAGATTTCACCTCGATTTCAGCACTTTCTAAGAAGTCAGACAAAAGAGCGGATATTGGTTGGGAAGCAGGAAGCTCGTAAAGCTACAAATTAATCAAATCAGTAAAATGAAATGAGATAAGCTTAAACAAACTTAGTAACGACTATAGGGACAAGTAAACTAGCAAAATAATAAAAGTTGTTTTCTTCAAACTCAGTCAATGGCTAACCGAAAATATTATATTAGCTTAGTAAAAACGTACAACCTAAAAATGAAGTGTGACAATGGTTGTAATATCAGTGCTCGGCTACTTCAGTGAACCGGAGCAATAATGAAGTACATAATAAAAACATGATGTTTTTCAATATATAAAGTGGTCTGTTTAGAACTTCGTCTTTGAAGACTAATGTCTAAATGCGTGACGAAAACAATCAAACTAAAGAGAACTACAGCAGTAGACCATAAAAATTATTCTGTTAAAAATATCAGTAGAATAGAATAGCAACCGTCTTTATATCATTTGTTTAGTTATGATAAAGAAACTCCGTATTTAAGGAGTGAAAACGCAATTTATAACAAGATTACGAGAGCGAACATAGATAACCACCTAATAATACTAAATATACAGTGGCTTTTTGCAGTTTCAGATTGATTTGTTAAAATTTCAAATATTGGAAAAAAGTAAAGGGAATTAAAAGTTTTAAATGTGCATCAGGCAGGGAATGGTCAAATTTACTCAATATATAGAAGTACCGTTCAATCTGTTACGTAATTCTTACAAATTATCCGAAATTATGTACCTCAAAGAATGCTGCACGGAATCAAAAAGCTAGCTTAGTTTTGGAGAAATCGCACCACTTGTGGCATAGACGAGACTTCTGTTTGACAACCGGATAATGCGTATACTATTTGGCAGTTCACTCCGTATTACTGTGCAGATGTGAAACATGGTCTATGAAAGTAGGAGATATACACAGACTGCAGGTTTTTGATCGTAGGTAATTTCTTTGAACACATAAACATTGGTACAAGGAGGCATCAAATGGATATGCACTACATAAATCACTCGATTTGTGTGAGGGTTGGGATACTACACGAGTGCTGAAACCGAAGCAGGTGGCTTTCTTAGGGGGCCACATCGGGAGTTTTTAACCTAAATGTTTAATCCACAAGGCAGTGGAGCCACGTCAGGAGATGTGGTCCCATAGTAGCCGGTGACCAACGATCGGTTCATACACCACTTGTTCTTTCAGGATCCTTGACACCATTGGTTTGGAATCAGGGATTTCCAACTCCCCTAGGTGGACAATCCGCGTCCACCAACCCGATTAAGGCGCCGGACATTCTCTTTTAGTCCTCTCAATCTCGTAACCAACACCCTCAACCGCGAGAAGGCAGTGAGTAAGACTTCTCCGGTAGTGGTTGTATACACGTTGCCACTTGAGAGTATTTGGAGAGGGAACTGACTATCTCCACACTCATCCGTAATAGGGAATTCGGGGGCATTGCTTACGTATCGTGAAACAATCATCTAGGCAATGATGCAGTTACAGGTAAGGTACCAGGTGAAGATAAGAAATCGGCTGATGAGAATGTAAATCTTCACCAACTAAGGTAACTGGGACATGTGTTACGTACGCCAAATCACTACCTACCTCGATGGGCCATTTTGGCTGGGGTAGGAGTAAGTTGGGGGAAATCTAGAAGCGACCAAACCATAACTTAATGTTTGTCCATGAGGTAATTGGCTGTTGGTCTGAGCCATGCTAGCAGGTTTAAACTACTTGGTTGATACCATCGTAGTAACGGCGATGAGTGGCTGGAGGCGTTCAGTGACATGGCTTTGAGTGCTTTCCAGAAGCAGTCATTATTTATCTTGTTCTAGATTCTGGGTCTCAGTATTCCTTTAATCATTCCTTTAGAATTAAATCCCCAACGTATATTCTTTCTCACTATCAGTTTTACCACAAATATTTCTATCCATTTGTTACTCATATTGTCAAGCCCATCTCGTTGGGGTGATTTGGTACGGCTAATTGGATTAATCAACGGGTTCTACTTTCATTATTAACAACTATGAGGATAGTCGTCTCTTGCAAATTCTATGGTTACGGTATTAACTAAGTGTCTTAGTTTGCACTATCATGCTACGGGCAAGAGCACTAGGAATAAACAGATATTCCGCATCCCCAATATTAAGGAATATATCGTAAAATCGAGGTACTAATAATTATTATTTCCTAAATTATTTGTTAACACGGTTCTTTTCGCGGAGCACATAAAAGTTATTAATCCCACCAGTTGTAATAGAATTTAAAGTACGAATATAAAATCGAACAACTTATATAATGATATAATAAGATAGGCGTAAAACGTTATGTATATGTACATATATAATTTCAAGTCTCCACATTTTAAATCTGACATATTGTGCAGGAATTAGGACTAACAATCAGGTTTTAGTTTATTGAACAGCAAGCTTAATTCCATCGCTTATGGAATTGTCATGTTTAGTTTCTTGTTAATAATTCGCATAGAGGCACATTATTTTATCAGATAAAGAAACATTTTATGGCTAGTGGTTTTGTTTTTTTATATGTTCATCAGCGATTTTAAGTCAATAACCTAGTCTCCTGAACAGTCATTTAGCCACATCGTACAATATTTCACCCATCAATTAGAATTGGATCCATAATATAAAATCATAAGTTTTTACCCATAAAAAATGGACGTAGGGATAAAGAATGATGGGATAAAAAGATGGAGTGAAAATAATAAAATCGATTGTACTGAAGAAGTAATTAATAAACACGATCTGAAAGAAATGAAGTCGGCAATGTATTGCTGTTAATAAAACCTAGTTTTCACCGACAGATTGAAACCAAGCCATAACCTCAGACAAGACATCTTCAGCTTCTGGTAGGACTAAGCTTAAGAGTTATCGATTCTGTGGGTGCTAATGAGCAAAATGCATGGAATAAAGTGGTGACTGGCCAAGGATATCGTATTTAAAAGGCCTAGACTAAAATAGAACTCATACCTAATAAATGTCTTCAATAAACACGAGAAATGCTGAGATGGAGAAAATATACTTCCATCGGTCGAAGGCGGTGGTATAGGTGATGATCTATTAGAGCAGTATGAATTCAGAACACCTCAGTTCCTCTCATTATGTTTACATTGATTTTAATTTGACGATCACTTACAAATTGGAGTAAATTAATGACAGCCCCCAAATGCCCTATTACGGATGAGTATGGGGATAGTCAGCTCCCTCTCCAAATACTCTCAAGTGGCAACGTGTATACAACCACTACCGGAGAAGTCTCACTCACTGCCTTCTCGAGGTTGAGGGTGTCGGTTACGAAATTGAGCCCCCAAATGCCCTGGTACGGCCGAGAGTGGGGAGAGTCACCTCTCCCTCTCGAAATGCTCTCATATGGCCGGCGAATATATAGCCTCTGACAGGGAAGTCCTACTCACTGCCTTCTCGTGGCGGGGGTGTTGTTTACGAAAGTGAGAGGACGAAAAGCGAATGTCCGGCGCTTTAACCGGGTTGGTGGACATGGAAAGTTCACCTAGGGGAGTTGGAAAACCCTCATTCCAAACCAGTGGTGCACATGGGCTCCAGTATCCTGAGGGAACAAATGGCGTACGAATCAACCGTTGATCACCGGCTTCCATGGGGCTGCATCTCCTCACGATGCTCCACTGCCTTGTGGATCAGACATTCAGGTCAAAGGCTCCGGGTGTGGCCCCCTAAGAAAACCACCTGCTTCAGTCTGGGCACCTGGGCAGTATCACAGCCCTCACACAAATCGAATGAGATTTGTGAGGCGCATATTTATCTGGTGCTTACTTGTACCAATATTTATGTGTTTAAATAAATAAATAAATTACGAGATTGAGAGGACTAAAAGAGAATGTCCGGCGCCTTAATCGGGTTGGTGGACGTGGATTGTCCACCTAGGGAAGTTGGAAATCCCTGATTCCAAACCAATGGTGTCAAGGATCCTGAAAGAACAAGTGGTGTATGAACCGATCGTTGGTCACCGGCTACTATGGGACCACATCTCCTGACGTGGCTCCACTGCCTTGTGGATTAAACATTTAGGTTAAAAACTCCCGATGTGGCCCCCTAAGAAAGCCACCTGCTTCGGTTTCAGCACTCGTGTAGTATCCCAACCCTCACACAAATCGAGTGACTTATGTAGTGCATATCCATTTGATGCCTCCTTGTACCAAAGTTTATGTATTTAAATATATTAATGAATGACATCTCAATACAAAATGAAACAGGACTACCAAACAGTTAAAGGAAACCTGACTTACACGAGCTTGACGAGTAATCAAGTCCCAATCATCCACGAGCCACGCCTTTAAAGATGGAGGTATAGATACCAGTAGTTGCGGCTTTGAAAGTAAACAGTCATCCTAATAAAATATGAGAAAGGTTAGATAGGTATCTGCATACAACAGAATGAGACATAATGTCTCGGAACTTAACATGAGTCTCCCGAATGCTAAAAATACATGAATTTCATTCGGAACATGATTCATACTGCAAGAGGTATAAGTTATTTCACTTTAGATGTACTTATGGAGGAAAAGATCTTTTTCACCTACAATAAAAGTGAGATATTTGGTAATTTAGACTCCATAACACTGGATTTATTATCACATAAATCAGAATCGCTGAGGTATGAATCTATGGAGTTAATGGAGAATCAAAACATAAGGTGTCGGTTAACGTTCTGAACACAAAAAAGAAGTCATTAAGCGAATGCACGAAACAACCATACGGCTGGTTTGACTTTAAAATGTTCCTAAAATCAAGAAAAAACCCCCCTAAGTTCAACTAATGAACTTTTCAGATTTACATTCTCAATAGATTTTATTCCTGATGTCGCCCGACTTTTTCTTCTTCTGCTTGATACTGTAGTATTGTTGGATACGCTGTTAGATTCTTCGGAAGGCTTTGATGGTGCCTTGGAATCTTCGCTCTCCTTTACTTCTATCGTCACAGGTGTACTCGGTTTTTGATCGGCTTCACCGTTACTTTTAGACTGCTTTGCTTTAGGACTCTCCTCTTCTATAAATACAGTAAGTGAAGTAACCCAGAAAATATAACCTTGTTTAACATTAGCAGGCTTCAGCGTGCGCTCCACATCCTTCAAAACTTCCGGAGGTGGTAGAGATTGTGACTTTAATTCAGATTTTCTTAAGACTTTGACTTTCCCAGACCTTCTACAAACCCGTTCGACACATTAAGTAGGAAACACTTATTTACATCTGCCGTTCCAACTCCTTTTGTTTCTTTAAACCCTCTTCATTATATTTGAACATACGTTTGTCAGTTACCCACTCATCCCAACTATTATCAAAGAATAAATTTCATTACATCCTTACTTCTTATTCCAACCTTGGTAGTGTACAAAATACATTACTCCATCTTCTTTCACCTTGACATCCAGACACTTGGCTTCATACATAAGAGGTCCATGGAAGCAAAGAAGTTTTTCACCTGTGTATGCAAGCTGATATATATTGAAAAAGAAAATCACACCTGGTTCATACTTAGGTTTCAAATCCACATTTGACATAGTAACGCATAAGTTGAGATAAGCCGCATGCACTATCTAAAACAACTAGATGGAGAAAACAACTTCATCTTACAACCTCTGAGGAATCATCCCTACAGAATGTTGAAACTTCAGTGTGTTGGGCCTATAAACAGAATTTGAAGTCCTAAAAGACTTGCAAAGTAGTCAAATTCTAACTCACTTGTGTGAGAGTTAATTATTTCAAGACGGTGACAATACTAACAAATGTAATGTGAAATAACAGTCTTTTCATCTCATCCACGTGGTGAAGTTGTGAAGGAAGGAGTGTTTACAGAAGTTGCCAGCACTGTACAAAGGCTAAGGAAATGTTATCGGAATAAAGTGAAAAAAGGAAATATGAAAATGACATATTGTTATTTTTCTTAAAGCGTACAAAGAAGACAATGATGATTAAGGCGATAATTATATTTTTGTTGTAGGGGAAGTTAAAGATAAGTGAGACCCCTGAATGATGTAGTGGCTGTTGCCATGTCAAGCCCACACAGATTGTTCAAGCCTCTGGACAGATCAATCTATTCCTTGCTCCCAAGTCACGTCTTTACCCTGCCACTTATTCGCCTATTACCGCTGACTGCGTTTTAAATGATCGTATGTGTACCAATTGCTTATCCCATTCATCATGTGTCTGTGACTTATTTTCCTCTAATCATAAATATTGAGTCACTCTTGGTTAAATGAAGTTGGCTCAAATGCGTTCAACGGTCCGTTTCGCCTGACACTCTCCCCATAGCTTCTTTCACTGTGTTTCTCTGACCGTATGACTGTATAGACGATTGCATGAGGTGTACGTATTTAATTTCGTTATTTACTAGAGTGATTTTAGTCGATAACTATACATAAGGGTAGCTGAGATGCATGTTTCGATAATAATCACCATACGATCCAATCACAGTCAGATAATGGGCCACCGAAATTAGGTTTGGAGAGTGGAATGATCATTTCACATCAGTTCATGTTGTGGTCTGGTAATGACCCCTGACCGAATGTGTTCGTTTTGTTGTATTCGTTGAAAATATCAAGATGATCGTCAATGTCTAGTATTGTGAAAGTTATTTGTATAGTGCATATGTAGTTCTGTATGTCTTCGAAATTGGTGCTGAGTCCATCAATTTTACTAGACACACTCGAGCTGAAAACGTTCGGTCATGCATTCACACAGGATTACCACTGGACACTCTGTACTACGCAGTCCTCGCAACTACTAGTCAGTCTAGATCACACGAACGTCTCGAGAAACCGATATTTTTGCAAATGCACCTTCGAACTCCTTCATTACTGACTTCTGTTTTGACTGTGTTTGAGGTCCTTCGATTGGAAAGGTGTTACTGGCAAAAACACTGAACATACGTGACATCTTTACGTGTTACACGCTTGTTGTCCCCTCTCATAAAATACCCGTATCCATTTTTACACGTTTTGGAATTGCTTTCAGAACCTTAAGGTTTAGTCCACTAAGCACCTTCCAAGTGAACCGGTGCCACTCAGCGAAGAGATTCTAAATATCTGTGAATATCTGTAAATATTTGCTTCAGTGAGTGATTTCATTTTGTCATTGTATGACGCTAAACGATTGATAACAAAGTCTTCTTTGGTCGAACTCAAATATACACCATAGAGTAGTTGCTTGTTATTGCTCCATGGCAATCTCCCAGCTTCTGCTTAACGTGGTTCTGACAAACAAATTTTTGACGCTATTTTGCTGGGAACATTTCTGTTGTTTTCCGGATTCATGGAAGTTGAATCTAGTAACCATGTTTTGTTTTGTAATGCGTTATTTCGTACAAACGACACCTTAGGCTTCCTAGTGAAGAAATGACATTGTTGATTTATGTTGCGTTTTTTAATATCATTTGTAATTACTCAGTGATACCACAGATTTTCGCGCAGTAAGTTTTATTTTGATATGAATGGGGTGTTGCCGTTGACTGTGGTTAACTTGAGGAAGCTTCGTGAACTAAACTGAAGATGTAATGGTTTGTTTTAATTGAATAAGTTTTTGTTTCTTAGACTGATGTTTTCCGTTTGAACCTAACATTTGAATCTATTTCGGTGAAACAGTGACTGGAAAGATTATAAGGAGTGCATTTTCTAGAAGTGCTGACGTTTACACTGATGCGACATTCCTTTGTGATTGCAAGCTGCCTTTCAGTGGTGATTTCCCTATCAAAGAACAAGAACGTATTGTACTTATTGGACAGTTCCACAAATATGTTTTCTATCAACCAACGCTAAGAAGTTGTCATTTATTGCGACATCCGAGGTAGTTACTGAAGCAGTTTCAACAACCAAACAGAAAAATCAAAATTGTGACCAACATTAAAGTGCAAATAATGTTTAACACAATGTACGACGTCGGAATCATAATTATACTCAATAATATGAGGTTATAAGCCGAAATATCAATAAAACAGTGAATATAGAAAACGTTTCCATTTTCAATGCTTGCATTCCACCTTCTTATATAACTGCAACCAATATGCAAGCGTCATCCAGAGGAACGTCGAAGAAGCTGGATAAGAACCATGTTGATAATTGTCTAGATCAACTGACATACAGTGTCAAATCCGAACGAAGAATAATTGATTGATAAATGCTAAGAATTATTAATGGGAAATTATCACAAACATTATGACTGAATAATTATCGAGTAACAAGACTATAAATTTTTCATATACCTACTATAGCAACCATCCTGCAATCAATTTTGATTATGTAGGTATCATTACCAAGTTTTGAATAATTTCAGCAAAAGATCTTAAAACAACACAGAATTAAAATATATTACAAAACAACGAACACACTTAGAAATACTTTAGTTCGATTAAAAGAGAAAATCTTTCTCATGTCGACACAGAAATGTGTCTACAAATTGGGATGTGTCGATTGTGATGTCTTCTATATTGGAGAGTCATCTCGCGAAATCTTGACTCGCGCTAAAGAACGCGTTAGGTACACAAAGAAACCTCCTAATAATCCTGTAGAACTGGATAGACTTCAAATTAAATCGGAAACAGCAGTTCACACCATTTTCAACAATCATCGAATTGATTTCAAAAATATCAAACTACTACAGAAAGGTTTTTCTTATTACAAAGAAAGAAGAGTAGCTGAAGCTTTCCATATAATGCTTAATCCCACTGCTCTTAATAGAAAGGAAGGCCTTAACATACATCCTACTTGGACTATCTATCCTAGCCACCTAGTCTGATATTATTTACAATCTCACACCATTACATTACAAGTTGAACTCTGTCCTTTGTCATTAGAAAAGTCACACATTTTTCATCATTAACATTGCATACATACACACAAAATTACATACATATCGCTTATGCATCTTTTTAAGTGAAACGAGATGACATGACATTGATTTATTGAGATCTGTTTTTGATTGATCACCTAATATTCGTGTTGTTCCGTTGTACTATTTAAACTTGGATTAATGTGAATTTGGTTATTTATTCTCTGAAGAAGTGGCTTACACTGAATCACGAAACGTCAGAAAATCCAATTTTTCTACTCATTGGGATATTACAAATATATTAATTTATTTAGTTTCGATTATGGTTTATTTTGGTTAAACCTTTTAATTAACTTACTTAACGGACACCGTCATTTGGATAATAGCAATTTGCATATTCTTTGTACTGTTATGATCACTAGAGCACATGACACTCTAGCCGAAATGTTGATTGCCTAAGTATCATTCGATGACTCATGCTCCTCCTCATATATGCATGCACGAAAATCCTATTATCAGATTTTGCTTTGTCTTGATGTGGCCTTATTAAACTTGACTATGAATTGCCTATGTCATTGATTGCTACTCGCTTGCTCGCTCACTCGCTGATATTCGCTCAGGTGCTGGTAGCTTTCTGGCCTGAGTTATTTGACAATAAACTGTAGTTGCTGATTTTTATTCACCACTAAGATTGGAGTTATAACGGTTATCAAGGTGAACGATTAACGAAGCACTGCGCTGCAATACTATCATTAGCTTGTGTTTGAATTGTCGGTCACTACTGTACGATTTATCATTTCTAACTCCTTAACAATTTACCAAATACAGTACCCCGAACTCACAGTAACTTTTAACTTGATCTTGTATGATTATTTTTTTGGTGTGGTGCGATATGGTCTGCTTGCGTGCAAATCACGTATGTCTGAAATATGTGATTGATACGGTTGGGGCTGATATTTGTGTTCTTGACTGAAACGCACTTAGTTAGGCGAGAGGCTACTACACAGAGGACTAATAAGTACTTAGAGATGACTCAAGACCGGTCATGCGCATCATTGTTTTGGCACACGGACATGGTCACATATAGCTCGGTTTCTGTTGGCGATTTTGTAAAGTTATAATTAAAATGTCCACAGCACACAACAAACAGAGTTCTAGTTTTAACGGAGTCGAAATCAGAAATAACTAAAATACATTGCGTGGTTTGATTAGAGTCGGAAATATTTTTTTGTTAACAATTTCAACTTCGTAACTTGAGTGCTCTTCCAGAAGTGGTTACTAGAGCATCCTTGGTAAAACTTCATGTACGGATGCCAGACACAGCTATATGCTCGTCGAAGCTTTACTTCCGCATGGAAAAGCAATCACTTCTTTTCAATGAGCAGAAAAGATGTACCAACACCAATTTGTACAAACTGCTACATATCTCGCTAATCATCCATCGTTGCTATCATTATCTTTTAAATTGTTATCATTCACTGATTTAACTAATCAAACCTCTTGTCATATATGTTTATTCATTATTCTTAATATTACGTCGAAATTTTACTACAGTCCGTTACTGAAGCGTGATAGATTGACCCACTCGTAACTTATGACCACAGATAACAATAAAACCGAATTGCGATTCAGATACTGAAGTTTATCCGTAAATTAAAAGTTATCAACATAAATATACCATCCCAATAATAGTTATAACGATTACAAAAAATGTTGTTTCTAGATTTCAGGAGCAAAACTTTCAAAATATCGAACCAAAGGCGGAGCGAAAAAGAGGTGACCGAAGTCAAAGCAATAGACGAACAGGTTCAAAATTTGATGAAGACAAACGCACCTAAAACATAATCAATTTATCATTATTAAATAAAACAGTTTGTAATCAATCAAATATCTGCATTTCTACTGGCAACTCTGAACACTCTGATAATACACTTATTTATTTAACTTATAGACCCGCAACCACTGTTCATTTGCATATTTCTAATTTCCCAAATGAATACTTCACAAAACCAGACTCTTGTTATCTAAGTAGACGGTTCTTCATAAAGCTCTATTCAACGAAAACAAATGCACTCGTTCAAAGTCAAGATTTTTAAATCATCAGGTAATTAACGAATTCACTAGGGCCAGTGCCATCGAGTGTTCAGACTACTCCGAAGAAGAAGAAGAATTAGTGTAGTGAATGAGAACTCAAGTGGGGACAATTAAATGCCTTTAAATACAAAATTAAAGAACGTCTTAGTAAAATCTGAGGACCATACAGTAAATTCTTCGTTTGCAAAATGCAACTCAATTGTCCCAAACTTGACTGTTCCTTCTGCAAAATGCCAATGAATGGTCCCAGATTTCATTGTCCTTTTATTCGCACATCAATCGTTCTTTGTTTTCGTTCTTTCTTATTTGATCTTTTCAACCTTTTGCCGCCAGGCATTTCTTTTTCCATTGACGACACATACTAATTGTATCTGTCAATATCAGTAAAACACACAACACCTGAGGCGTACTTTGACATCAAAGCGCTATCGTAAATAGATACTCTATTTTACACCAGATCGTTACAAAAAGAGTGGATAATGAACCTTATCATGACATACCTGGAAATAGACAGAAACGTAAATATCGGTCAATAGGATATTTGCGTCCATATGTTTTTGATCTGAGACCTAAAATAAAGCTGGAGTGCCTTGAAATTATACATAAGGTTCGGTAATTGATCACTGTTATTTCAGACCATACATATTGGTGGAGATGATTGAACTAGCTAATGTGGTTGTCTAATTAATTCGAAATAGCTGATAGCTACTGGAAATAATTGCTAGTAAGGTTGTTGTCTAGCAAACAACTGCCTGAACAACCGGATCTAATGATTCAAAACGATGTTACACAATGCACAGTATAAAAGATGACTAATAACAAATTTGAACTAGTAAGTCCCGTTTCTTTCATACTTTCAGTTTTATGAGAATTGGTAAGACCACTAATACTAGACGCCCGACATAAATAAGTCCACACATAGTCCTACGTATTAAGGTATGAATTCAATTCAGAATTAACAGCCTTTTTATGGAGGTGAGTTTAAACTACGTTAGAAGCCATCTACTTATTATTGTGATCTGAAGTCTATTTAGAGTACTTTCACCTAATGTGGCAAATTAAAAACTTTATAATCATATAGGTATCTACAATTTTCACAACATTATACTATTTGTTAACAATCGAAAACAGCTTTTTGATAAAGAAAACAATATATGTGTACGTTTTTATCCTTGATATGCCAAGGACATATAACATTAGAATACGTATCAGTCTGTTTGACCAATTCAGGTGTGTGAACTTGTCAGACGCGCATAATTCGTATCTTGTATGCTATCATCGCTAAGTTTGTTGGTCCAATGCAGCGGAAATTAGAACAATTACCTGGTCTTAGTAATGTGACTGGAAAATACACAAAAAAGTGTACAGATGAACCATACCCTCGTTTGTTTGTACGCAATACGAGTGAAGGTAGGAATGATGTTACAATCCAAGTAAATAAAGTCAATTCAGAAAGCTCAGGATTTCATAATTCTGATGTCGCACCTCCTGTGTGGCCCTTGAATGCCACAAAGTCTTCAATTATGCAACCTCGACTGGATTCCGCCAATAGCCATGATTACGTACCAGTGACTCACAAATGTCCAAACATTCATGTCGCCAAGCCTCAGTATGTAACTCCTAAATCATCGACAGCACACCAATCTTTGATATCTAGTGGACCAAATACATCTTCAGGAGGAAAGGTGAGACCTCAAAAGTCAAATATTCCCATTAAGCCACAAGATATGCAACGTACCAAAAGATATATGAAGGAAGTTGTGAAATCGTCATCATCAGGAAGTGTGTCCGCACTTCAGTCTAAACCTACAGGTGTGATAATAGCCACTCCATGTTCTCCACAAGTTAATGAACAGGGTCTCACCAGGTCATTTGATGGTTTTTCTGTGAGTGGGAAAGTGGCTTCATTTAATTCATTTTCTGGAAGCGAAGAATCATTTCATAGAGGCTCCGAAAGGACTTCGTTTTTAAGTGGAAAAGATTTTAGTCAAAGATTGTTACCTGGCCCATGTATTGTGTCGGGTTATTCTTATGAAACAGAGGACGGGATTCTTTCAACAAGAGAGCATTCACGTGACCGATCGTCCTACACTCAGCCATCAAATTTGCTGAATGTTTCGAAGAACTCACCTGGAGGTGCTGATTCTCAACACTGCTCTAAGAGATTCTCCGATGATCGGGAGGCTTATCAGCTAGGAGATGAACAGTTATGCAGTAGAATAGGTCGGGTAAATCTCTCGGATAATGAACCGGCTGTATCACCTATGCATATCAGTAGTGACTCATCATTGCAGTCCACAGAACAACATATTTCTTACTCTGGAAATCAGGAAAAACAAGATACGAGTGAACTTAACAGAAAACCCATAATACATCTATGTGGTCTTCAACCGAGACACACCTCATGGAATGTTGGTAAGTGTATACAAATGAGTTGAGTCCAATCTGCTCCGGATTGAACTCTTTTACTAATATGACATGTAAAATATTCGTCTCTGAAGTTAGGTTAGACGATCATAACTATTATTTTGGTGCAATGGAAAGTTTATACATCATCAGAAACATGTGACTCTGATAAGAATTCAAACCCCATGAGAAGAAAGTTTCTGCTGTTGATTATGATTCTTTTGTAACTAAATCTTCTTAACTGCATCCACCAGCCGATCTTATTCTTAGAAGATGATTTGACGGCTCAATAAGAAGACACCTATTTAGTGATCGCTCATGGCGCTGCCTAGTAACTGTTTCCTTGCTTAAATCACAAACCATTGGATTTTTCCTCGGTAAAACTCATTTCGTAAATTTATACACCGACTGGTATTGTCACTGTACTGAGTTCCAACATTAGGAAGTCTTAAAAATGTGTTGCTCAGTAGTTCCACTGCCGATTGTCAGAAAATAATAATGCACTTTGATGCTCAATAATTATGAGACAGAGTACTGATGAAGAAGTTGTATCTTTTTGGTCTTTTTTTGTCACGAGTTATCTGAGAATATCAATATCTTCGCCTTGGCGAAGTATCAAATAATTAAAAATAATGACCAGGCAAAGCCTATCACTTCTTGAGCTTGCTCCCGGTTTAAACATCTTTAAAGGCCTATCTGCAAGACCGCCAATATAATTGTTCCTTGTACTCTAACTAATTAACTGGAAGAATGTTGAGACTGACCATGTTTCCTGAAAGCAGAAAACACGGTCTATTTGTGACTTCCAACGACCAAAGCTATAAATTAAACCTATCGGTCATCACATTAACTATGGTTTGTGGCCAGCTAAGTACCCCTTATATCGCTTATACCGAACCAGTTTTACTAACTTATTATATTCTTTTTATTTAAATATCTTGCTGTATTTTATTAGGTTTTTCCAATATAGGTGAACTACCAGATGCTAGAATGCCGGGTTCACAGTGCACACAAAACGCTTTGGAACATTACTTGTCAGACTTGGTAGCAGATGAGCAGAAAATGATGGCAAGTAGTCCTTGTGCTGGTGTAGCACGTGGTTATTGCGAAACAACGTCCGGTTATATGAATCCCTCAGTTTCTCCAAAATCTGGTGAGAATGAGAAGAAAACGTGCTCTACAGACTTATTACAGTTTCTAGAGCAACGCATCGAAAATGCTTTGAGGAGTATGACGTCTGTGGGTATGCTAAAAATATAAATATTTCATGCATGAAATCAAGTTAGATTAGGATTATTAATTTTTCTCAAGAATGTAATAAATAGTTGACTACTCTCTGTAATTTAGTTCGGAGTATTTTAGGCGTTTCTTTCGGTTTTTACTTGAAAATTTCTATTAATGTTCTCGATTGAAATAAGCCACACGTTTTTATGACTTCCTCCTTTCTTATATGTGAAGTTCTAGACAGTTTGTTAACATCACATCAACTAATATGCTTAACTCACTGATGAACTATCTGTTGAATTTAAGTTGGTTTTCAAATTTTCCAGGAAGTCTTATATCGGTATATTACCACTTTAAACTTAAAGATAGTATAATTTAGAACTTAAATTGGGACAATATCTTTCCTCCATTTTTTATATGCTTTGCAGCGGGCTGGAATATTTGCGTATTAACACAAGTTTATCATTTGAATATGAAGGACCCTTTTTCGCCTTTACTGAGCTACAACTTTGTAGTCTAGTTTTCCAGTTAGATAATGCAACTAAGTTTATGCTTTTACTGTAATGCACTCATCAACAACATGAATTTAGGTTTGGGTGTTTTTTGGTTACGTAAAAATTGTTATCTTCATAGGTAAAACAACAAGTATCCAAGAGAATTTACTTGGCTTACTTTAGTTACAAGGCTAACTAAACGAGAAAATTATTGTTTAGTATAAGTTTGTCTACAATAAAGTGATTTTTGTGACGGAATTTAATTAGTAGATTTATCTTCGGTTTTATTTTAGATAAAACATGTAGATACAGTTTTTATAATCACTGTGGCTAATGTTCGTAATACTGTGCGATTATATAAATTATTATGCTCTGGTAAAGTTCTTACTAAGTTCTTTTTATGGGTAGTAATAAATAATATGTACATTTCACCTCTAGATGTTTGTAAATAACTGAAGCTTTTAAACCCTTAAGTATTTTTTTCTTGTTTTGGATTATTAGATTCAAAACCATACCCTCCCAACAGTACACAAAATCGGATGCGTCCAAATAGGAGTGCTTCTTTAAATCCAGTTTGCGATTCTCGAATAAAAGGTGTTGAATCATCATCAGTGGCTGGAAATCTTTTTCAAAATCAACGCACGTTTGAAAATAATGATTCACAACAGATTTATTCCTACGAAAACTCTGCTGCGCCTCCAAATAGACAACACATTAGTTCCTTTTCAGATGAACGTTCAAGCCACGCTTATGCAGAAAGTAATGTGCTTCAACAATTTAATTTCGATGAGGTTAGCGTTGAAATTGAATGCAATATTGTTTTTGTAGTGTATTAGAACCTTAGTTTAAAACTCAGCAACTAGATAAGGGAGTTTGATATTGATTCTAGTGTCTTAATCTGTTAAATTTTTAAATTTGTCCCAAAACAAATAAGACGGTTAGGTTCAAAGTGTGTTTTTTCAACCCATGAGTGTTGTACGTAAAATTTCATGTATAGTGTCTTAAGGCTTTGAATAGCACTGACTAGTAGATGCTTCATTTTTATTTCTGCCCATCCTCTGAAATCACTATGTTCATAGATAGAGATGCCTTATAACCGTCTCAACCGCTAAAATTTCATATGTTGTATGTTTTTTTATTTTGTTTTTACCACTTTCCACAACGGAGATAAACCTTTCAATATTGAAATTCAGAAATTAAGAATAATAGTGACGTTTCATACGTTTTCTAATTCTTGAGAGATATAAGCATGGAGGATCTCGTTCATAGTGACGTGTAAGATGAGGAACAGCAATCCGATTCTCTAAAAGCCTCCAGAGCACTAAGTCCTGTTACTACCTGTCTCTATACTGGAAGCTAAGGAGTATACAAAAATCGAAACTAACTCGAGTTGACCAAAAATGCACTAACGTGGTCGTTATTCTTTATCAATTTTCTATATAATATTTTTAGGGTTCCGTAATTTTAATTCTTTTCTCCACTGTTGTTGAAATATTCCTTGGTGAGAATTGTTATAAGTTTCTCAATTCTCGTTGCGGAGACTATCTTTTCAGAGATGAGGTGGATTAATTTAAAGGTTCTCTAGTATTTAAACCCAGTATTTGTCACCTTCTAAACTTTAAGTCTAACCCAGAATCAATGAGTATCTCCACACTTACTTTATAATTAGGTTCGGAGAGATTGAGAGCACGTGGTTATTTGAGTAGTTTATTTTCAGAGGAAGAAATAATGTGAATACAAATGTAATTGAGAGAAGAATATGGAAAGAATTCATAATTTTTCTAAGTATCCTGGCGAAGACCCATACGGCGGGTTACCAGAATAGCCATCTTCATTGTAGAAATGACCTTCAAATAAAAGCAGAAACTAATATAGACGAGGAGCATATGGTTTGTTTACAGCTGCCAAGTTTAAATAATCCTTCACGATATACTTTTGTAGAATGTTTATTGTGTATTTATTATATGAATATAACATAGTTGATCCTAATTTCAGCCGTAAAACACAAAATCCTTGTTTCGGTAAGTTTAAATAATTCGCTGAACATTCAGTTGCCCTAATTATTTTTTACTGAATGGCTTCTGCCTCTCCTGCCATTTATCGGGTGCTAGGCTGACGAATCATCATGTTATATAGATTTTCTGATTTATTATTTCGTAGAAATAACTATACCTAGCATTATTTTCACTTCTAATATGACTAATGGATAACTCTTTGTTACGATTTTAATCTGTGACTTTAAATTATTTATCAAAGTACGATTTTCTGGGCCTAAATGTTTGAACTGCTAGTAATTTTGGCATTAACTTGTCTTTTTACATTAGGAACATTCATGCAGGCAAAACGTTTCACAGTTTTTACTTGTTCGGGACCTGTGAATTCATATGCTTGATATGTGTGTGTTTTTTAGTTGCAGTATCTTCTTAAATCTGTTAGAGATTTATTGGCGTTACGCGCTCCTTCTGCATACACAAACGTTTCATTGGGACAAGATGGATCTAAAATCACTGAACTAGATAAACCAAGAAAGTATGGTAAAACTGAACGAAATGAAACAATGTCAAACAGGGATGACCAGAGTATGTGTGCGGAGTCACCATATATAGCTAGATCATTATCAAGCAGTCGTAGTAGCAGTGCTGTGAGGAACAATCGCTTTGAGACGACTTCAGAATCTCGAGGTAGCCGATTAAGTTCTGGAATATCCGAAGACGGTAGCCATTCAAACGCTGATTTAATGCATCAGCGTCTACCCATAGGTTTTCAGCATTTTGAGCGGTATTTGGATAGCAAATTTGGCCCAGATCATCCAACTAACAACGCTTTCACAAACAGTTCAGATGTTCAGCCAAAACCTGAGTCATGTGCAAAAATAATACAAACGAGTTCAGGACATTCCCCCTCAGTATTGTCCGGGAATTCATTTGACCACAATTCACACATGTTAACCAAACAAAAACCACCCAGTTCCATTCCAATGCATTTAGGAACTACTCAGACAGGTATTATTACCACCAACAAATCCGAAGAAACCGTCAATCATTCTTCTAGAACACCTGTTCCGCAATACCCTGATCATTTGAACGAAGGTTTCCGTCCTGTGTATACGAATTTTCAGTCTGGTAAGAAAGGATTACCCATTTATTCCTCTTGTTTTTTATCTACTAGTCCTACGGTTTACCAGATAAATCCTTTTTTGGCTTCTCTCCTGGTGCCTTGAGGTCATAGCATGTTAACAGAATAAGAAAACGCATAAAGTGTTCAGCTTTTGTCATTAAAAATATGCTTGGGTACATTGATATTCTGTTTGTCAACATCCCATAAGAAATAATTTATCCTACATATAAAAACTTGAGACCGTTGAAACCATATCACAATATGGACTTTATCCAATCACAAATAACTTAAGTTAACCATACTTTTGTTATTGAAAAAAAAAGTTTGAATAGTAGTGGTGTTTTATTAAAATAAAATCAGAAGAGGATATTTAACACCAAATGATGGCTTAAAAATTTTTCCTTAAAAAGTATTCAAAAATTAACTGTTAGAACTCCTGAAAGTACTCCACAAAAATGCTGTAGTAACCCAACTAATAATAACAATTTATGAGATCACATCAATAAACATGAATGACTATCAGTACAGGGTTGTGAAGACTTTAATTTTATTGAGATTACGAACCGACACAAGTTAGAAAACTATTGAAAACCGTAAAACATTAGATGGCTGTTTTATCGTAGTATGCGACTACTCGACGGCATACACCCGCACCTCTGCATCCGAGCATCAAACCTAGGACCTCTAGTCTCGAGCGCTAATGTTTGATCTGTAGGCCACTGGGCTGGGATCCAACCAGGTGCAAGTCTAACTCCAGTTAATCCACGATATTGCACAACTATGTTACATGAATGAGATTGGTGAATAGCACATTGCATTAGACATTATTATATGGCGACTAGCAAAAATTAGAAGTTAAGAAAAAGAACGAAAAAAGATGGCACAACCAATTTAAAAAGTAGTTGTCATTCTTGTATGAAGTTGATTGGTCATACTGTAAATAACTAGTCAACGATGGGTTCGACAAGCCAAACTAAAATTAAAGTCTGTGCTACTTGTGGGATATTGCTAATACCCAAAGTATATCCAAACTCATTCGCCAACATGTAATATGAATTACCGTTGATTAAAAACTTTTAAATCGTATAACTTAAGAAAAATGGGTGAAAATGTTTGTTTTAAAAGTACTACCTTCGGCTAGCTAACCAAATACAACGGATTTTACGACCGATAAATTGTGTTCTGTATTGTTTACCATCGGTCGACCAATCGACCACTGACTATACTTATCTTAGATATAGCATCTGCTAGCAATCTAACATAACTTAATTTTTTATTTTATTCCCAAGACTATTCAGAACAAACAGAATGGAATTCAGAGGAAAAACTAACAGTGACTAGTGAATATTGTAATTCAATGTCTAACCAACCTGGTTTGGCCACACACTCACATAACAGCGGATGTGTGTCTGTTCCCTTCATAAACCATTCAACCTCCTCTCATACTGGAAACGCAGATGGTAATGCTAATCATATGAATTATTGCACAGAGTCAAATAACATTTATGCTCCCGATCCTCAACAGGGACAAGTAACTTCTTGGCCACCAAATTGGTATCAATGGTACATTTCTTCTCACATGTTTCCACAAAGGCATCCATCCTATTCACAATTTCCCTATCACCACTACTATTACCCACACCTGAAACAACAACAACAATTCGGTCTTGATCATACAGTTTTTTCACATCGTATGAATCGTTTAGTCACCCCCTTATCTTATGTGGTAAGTCATTATATTGAATCTACACACTACTAATCTTAGACTATATTGAAAAGTTCCTTAATATTTTTGATATTCAATATGTCAATAAACAAAGATTTTAATATTAATGCTAATTTTGAAATATAATGGATCATTATGGTGATTTCTTTATCTACATAGCATTTTGAAGAATTTACTATAATAATTTCTCTTTTAAACTAATATTCATTTTTATATTTAAATAACTATCTAGTATTCCTTCTTTTTGGATTCATTGTTTTATTGCGTTATCTAATTGTGCATTCACCAGCCAAAATGTTATTGATATTGATTTTGTTAGATTCTGCATGGTAATCAGTTCCACAGTAAGTACTCGTTCTCGATGTTGTGTGTTGATGTTAACTGATACCTTTGATGAGGTCCGTATGTGTATGAGCTGTGAGACAAGCCTTTTTTTATAGAGAATAACATATTCTGTATCTGGTATTTGATTTAAATTTATGTTAATCATTTGCTGTCTTCTAGTTTTAGCTTAACAATTTCCGTTGTTTACTTTGTATTTATTTCTGTTATAAGATCATTTTTGTTGTTGTGAGCCTCTGTTTATTGAAAAAAAAATTTCATTAAAATCATTTTACGAGTAATACGTTGATATTCATCACAGTAATCTAGAAGCTAATATGTTTCGATAACTTTGTTATAAATTTGAAATTCGAGTTATCTAGATTGTTGTGATTAGTTTCTTAAAAGTATTGAACTTTGTTTATAGTTCAACTAGTACCAATGAAAACCCAACATGAAGCTGCATCGAATGATCCTTTGAAAAACAAGCACAATAATGTGGAAACCAAAAAAATCATGGTGGTTTGAAGTGCTAGACTCTGCAAACAATACAACAGAAAATCAACGGGAATAAAGTGATTTCGGAACAAACAAGAGCATTATAAACTACAGAAAAAATGAGTAAATAACAAATTTTCGAGTGCTTATGGTTTATAGGTAAACAATCAAATAGAATCTATAGACCCCACACAATTCCTAGGGCTTGGTATGTCAACCTGTGAGTCATAGATGAGTCGTATGGTTGCAAAACATATTAAACTAATCACCCACGTATTGCATAGGACGATAGTCACACTATAGGACAGAGTGACTTTTAGCAGAAGGTTTCACTGATAAGATTTTAGTATATTGGCTGAATGTTAAAGTACCAACAACCTGACTTTGAAGTCTTAACCTCATTCTTGTTCATCGTCTATTTAAAATAATGATAAAGAAGGCTAAACTAATGCTAATAGTTTCCCAATGGTTTTATGATGATATTAGTTTTTTAGGGAGAATATCGTGAAATCAACCAATTTGTTGAAATTTACTCCTTGATCATATAGTTTCCAAGTCATTCACGTACCTTAAATTCTGCAGTGACTGGTACATGAAATGTTTCCCATGTCATAACGAAATGCAGTTCAGTAGGTTGAAAAAGGTGGTTTTAATAATCATAATTCACATAATTCTAAAATCGGGATACGGCCCAATATTTTATTACTGGTTCCAAATCAATTATATATATATATATATATATATATATATATATATATATATATATATATATATAATTTTTGGTGCAAAATGTTATGAAATCTTTCGCATATTATCTGCTTTTACAATACGCAGATGAATTCTCCACCAAACTATTCACCAGCGGGGCATTTTTGCTGTATGGAGCCAAACCATGCACATGTGTACGAAGGCAATTGTACATCCCCTTTGGCTGAAAGTTGTCATTTCGTCTCCTATGACCCACAGACTACAGAAAACCCACTACAGGCAACAGCAGCCAGTGGTCTATGCTCATGTGCAAATCCTGATGGAATCAAACGATTTGCTAATATAAACTACACCTATTCGGATAGAATTCCAACAAATTCTTATGCAGCTTACAGACCATCAGGTGTGTATTCACCTCCACCTGGTTATCCTTGGTTTCCTTGCATGAACACTGTTCGCTGGGATCCATTTTCTTATAATAACAACAATAACCTAGGTAAGTTGATGTTTATTTGAGAATTCCTAACGAAGGTATCTCATTTTATTATGTTTCTTGCCTCCAACTGCATTAAATCATGTTTTTAAGTCAATCTGAGTATTATTCATTATATGTGAAGAAATTATATTTGAAATAGTCTCAGCGATTGAAATATAAATAATTCCAACGTTTCGTCCAGCTAACTTGTCTGGACTTCTTCAGGGAAATCTGAGTATTAGTTTACTGAGTTAAACATTATTCGTTAGGCTTAGAAGTGTCACTGGACATGATTTACGGCACTGCCTATCATATGCTTCTAGAGTACTTCCAGTAAAACAAAATGTCTCGTGATAAGTTAGTGGTATTAAAAAGATATTTTGTTCTGGGATGATACAATGTTGTTAGTTCAAGGAATTTTGCTCACTTTAGTTACGGTATACCTAACTACTGAAATAATGGTTGAAGGAACTGTGAACACCACTCTAGGATACAAGTATGAATTGAGAGAACCTTAGTACTACGTCAGACAGAAAGGATGTAAGTTGAGACGGTAAAAAGGACTGATGAACAATAAAAATAATATACAATAAACATAGAAAAAATTAGTCCGTAAATCTTTTTATATTACCGTTGTAAAATCAATAGTTGTCCTATTGGCTATATTTTTTTGACTCATTTAACTATTGGGACCCTCAATAATATACGTAATACTGATAAGAGAGCTGATTTAATTTGTTACTCTCACATGTTAGAATAAAATTGCTCTCTTAACTATATTTTTTCGTTTCACCATTTCACAGTCAAACCCACTATCGTAAGATTACCATTCGTAATTATGAACGATCTAAGAATTTTGTTCTTTAATGACTGCCCAAGATGTGTAATGTTTTGCAGCATTATTAGAAGTTGTGAACTATGAAAATAATATCGTGCACACATGAAATCTAAAATTATTTTGAACAGTATATTAGTGGCAGAAAGTTATTTATCATGTTAAAAGAAACGAGCAAGATATTGTTCGAAAGCATCATATGTATTTGTTACAATAAATATGTGAGCGACAAGTTTTTCTGGTTAAGAATAATTATACGTGTTTTATTATCAAAAGGTGGTCAAATAAGTGAACAAGTAAAATGAAAGTGTTTTCATACATCCTCCTAAACTTAGCTGTTCGTTGAAGTTAATATTCTTATTAATATAATAGAGTCCTTTGACGATTACTTTTTGTTAGTCACTGATAAAGTTGCCTTAAAAAGTCTATATTTTAAGATACCTCTAATACAATTACATCCTAATTAGACAAATTTAGATAAATCGCTAACACAAGAATCTTCACACATACTCTATACAATAGGAAATCAGTTTATACTTCTAAACATAATTCCCCTACCAACCATATTCCTGCATATTTATTATTAAAAGGAACTAAACAATATTTTCATTCACTGAGAACTGTGGTTAGCTAAAAAAAATACGATTGCTTGTTATAAATCAGGCGGAACATGTAACAGGAAAAAAAACAGTTTGGATTAATCAGCTTACTTTTTCTCAACATTTTCCCGAATTCATTCACTTAGAGAAATAAGAGCGATTATAAAATATTGTTTTATTTTGTAACTTCTGTCTAAAGAATCCTTTGTTCCACAGTGAGAAAATTAATTATTCACTTGTAATATAATTATAATTTATATGTATTTCATCTTTTTCCCTTTGTGTGTTTTTCTCTGTACACTTCAGTGTTAAATTTAATGAATGCCAGATGATATATTGGCAGAGATGCCCTTTTGTTTGAAAATTCGTTGTTGGTGGCATTTAACATTTTGTTTATTTATTTATTTCACCATTCTTTCTCCCGTGTGTGTGTGTGAATACAAGTAGTTGAATGTGTCGGGTTTCGTACACTTGAAGCATTCTTTATACGACTTCTTCTTTCTATATATTTTCACATTAGGTTAATTTAAGTTTTATGCGAACACATACCTAATCTGACGTACTTTTCGTGGTATTTTCAAAAAAAGTAATTATTTTTATGTGTACAGTTATATGCTGTCAAATTAGTGAATATTAGTCTAACTTGAAATTACGGCAGGTGTCAGTTTGTTAAAAAAAATTCTCGTGTTATTTTAAGAAAATTAAGCAAACTGATACATGTTGGAAAGTTTTCTGTTTAATGTCATGTTTTTCAAAGATCAATGATGCATACTAGTTTTTGTATGTTCATTTACTACCTGAGTTTCGAGGTTAAATATATTACCCATAAATTTGAAATTCATACTTCATTCCTTTATATTTTCAGTATAAATGCTGTCTATGTTAACCGATAATTGGAGATTTGTCAGTTTTAATGGACGTACAACCTGGAATAAAGCTTCGTTACTTTAAATCACTGCATTATATTAGCAAGATAATATGAAATTAACAGAATGAATAACGAAGGAGTTAAAGTAACCTAGTAGTAATGATCATGAAAAAGAGTAAACACCCGTAATATAGTTCAGGAAGCACAAATGAAAATATGTTTATAATGAAATACAGGAACTCGATATATAAAGTAAATGGTTCTGTGTCATTGTGACCAATTCTGACTAAACGTCTAATGATAGATTTAGTAATTAACTTACTTAAATTTCAACTATATATGACAGAATTGAATCCCGTCCCGCCAACTTTGGTTTTAAGCAGTCGTAAAGTAACAATCACTAGTCCCAACTCAATATGCGTAATTTAAACGCGAGCACACAAATCCTTACTTTGTAAATTAGTAAACAAAAGCTTTTTTCAATTGTATGTTAGTAAATAAGATTAATTTATATTTCACTAAATGGTTGTCTAGATTATGACATTTCTACTTCCTAAAATATTAGAATAATCCGAAATATTTGGACAATTTATTGCTTTAATTTTTAGGTCGATTAAAAAGTCCATAGGTAATATATTTTCAATTGCTTTCTCTATCTTAATGTTATTAAAACGTTATTTTGCCAAAAAAAAAGGAAATCTGGGATATGCATAACGGCTTTTTTTCTCGTGCGTTTGCACAAATACTCAACGATATTGTTAATAAATAAAAACGTAGTCTGTGTAATATAGACAAGGAAAAATTTTAATTTGAAGGAAAATGTTGCAAGGATTATAAAAATAGAACACTACACCACTTTCCATTCGACTGAAATTATTTATTGTTTAATAAAGTTGATATAATGAATACGAAATGGAGCGGTTACAAAATCATACATACACTTGCAGTTATTGTAACAGTATCTTACATGTTCATTATTAAACATTTGTCGCGTTATACAATCTGACTTTGCTTACATCAATTGATATAATTTTTCAAAAACATGTGAAATTCAGAATTTTCCACCATATGCTTGTTTTTGATTGAAGACATTACATTTCCTTTATTTTGAGATACATAACTAAGAATTTTATGAACTCCATATGATACATGTATGCATTGGGTAAATGTATTAACCCATTTAACTTTTTATCTTACAGAAAACTACAATTGGAACGCTTATTTTCAACGTCCGACTTATGGACGATTTACAAATTGTATGCCTCGTTCTGGTAGTGCAAATGCTGGGTTTACATATTCATCTGAAACAGATAATTTATCAAATCATACATCTGAACGTGGAGTAGCTTCAGAACTTGATAGATTTAAACAAAATAGCAATCGTTGTGAGCATTATTATGCAGTTAATCCAAGTAACCAGGTATTTATACTGTCAGATCAAACAAATGATGCACAAAACTTCTTTCATCACAATAATAATAATGGTAACAATGTTTTACAGTCACCGGCTTTACGCTCAATGACTAATTCGTTTAGTGCTAATGATTTAGCCGCTTACCATAATCAAAGTAGAATAGGAATAAGATATACTAAGTCAAGTTTTGATTTAGCTCCGGAATTACCCGTTGAACCGGGATTAGCTTTAATGGATCGTTCTAATTTCTATTCAAAAATTTCAGTAAGTTTTACGTGTAAATTTCTGAATACTTTGAGTAATTCTATATGGTTTTTTCAATGTAGTTTTAGTTCATTTTCTGTTAATCATTTTATCTAACTGTTTTATTAATAAAAGATAGATGTTTATGCTTGTTTTAATTTATCACCAAATATGCCTTCTAACTTTATTTGAGTGATTTCTTTTATTGAAACAAATATTTACTAGTCATTAATTGAAATGGACAACAATAGTCGTTTAATTTTACCGAATGGATGGTCTGAAAGACGATCAGGTCTTGGTCGATCATATTATACATGTGATTCAACCAGACGATCCACATGGAATCATCCACTCATTGGACCGTATATACCATTGGGATGGGAACGCGTTGATTCAAGTCAATCAGGTGTTTACTATCAAAAGTAAATAATGAAAAAATTACCATTATTATTAATAGCAATTATTACATTACCATGTTCTACTTTTATTTGTTTATCTCTGGGTTAGTATAGAAAAATCTATCCTTTTTAGTGGCTTTTTTAATGTCCAATAAACAGACAACTACATATCTACAAATCTATGTTTTATGATTTTAAGCATTGTACTTATCAATCGGATATATACGAGTGTATCAAGTTTGGGGAATTTTTATTACAGGGGTTAAAAAATGGGTTGTTAAAATTTTATAGTTTATATCACTGATTGTTTCCGGTCAGACAACCATTGAAAATTAAAAGGACAGGACATCTGTTTAGTCCTAGTATGGGACTTCTCAGTAGTACCCATCCCCACCTGGGATCGAACGCAAGACTTTTAGGTTTCGCTTTGAGCATTTAACCTTTAGACCACTGACCTGACATCCAACGGTGTACATGTCTAACTTCAATTAATCCTCGATACTGAGGAATTTATTTTTAGTCTCCATTTATATGAAATACTCATACTTATCGTTTTAAATGGGTGATAATATATATTGGAAGTTGTCTTATTTGTCCATCATTTCTTTCAGTACATTTAATCTCTTAAAATACTTTCAGTCAAATGATTGTATACACTTTATGTTTAGTTTCGAAATACAGGGAAACTCATTGTTCTGATAATTTAGATGGAAGAGAAATTTAATTATTCAGAAAATGTTTGTCTTTTAACTAATATTTAACTTCTTCACCATCAGTATTGAAACAAACATCAAACTGTCTTGTTATACTAGTAAAAATTTTTTGGACATCAGATCCATATCATAATGTTAGTGTGTATTGTAAGTTCCTTATTTCAATGGAACATTGAATTAACCCCAGGGTAATTTCTTTCTTTATCATCTAGTCTACTGACACATTTTTAGATAAGAACCTTAGCTAATTAAAGTCAAATGGAGTTTTCTAGTACATTGGGTGGCAGACTGCTTTCTCAATACAAGTTAAAACATTATTTGGATCTGTATTTGGTCGTCTGATAGCAAAATGGTCAACTGATCAAAATCATCTCTCATGAAATAATCACCTCTTTGAAGTTGCTTAGAATGACATTATGTTACATTTCTCTCTTTTTGAATCAATTGTTTGATAGTATTTATGAACTTCACGATTTCCTACGTCATTAGTATAATTTCAGCAAATCCATAATAATAAATCACATCGGCAAAAGTTGTTAATTATCAATCCACTTCCTGTATCTTAATATTATAGGAGTCTGTTTTGAAAATCGTTTATCAAGTGTATCAAAGTGTTTCCTTAGAACGAACTATTAGAAATAAAATGTCTTTCATTTTGTTTGGAACGTAAAGGCTAAAACAATGCATCAACATGAAAAAAATTCAACATGAATAATCAAATACAATAATGTAAAACCTTATACAAGATACATCAAATCGGTTAACCTAAGTGAATTGCTTTATGTAAAGCTCATAGTTATTGTCAGTAGATTCTGTTAATCATAATCTGTACATTACAACTGGTTGTCTGTTATATCCATATTTACACAGGGGAAGCATAATTTGTCTAGTTTCCATCCCATAATAGAGACAATACTTGTTTGTGTTCAATGTATGAATGAATACCTAATTACTTTTATTTTATTTTTGTTAACAGCTGACACGATATTTTATAATTAAAAGGAGTATCAGAAAAGCTTATAATAGTGTGAAATAGACTACGAATAAAAATAATATCAAAACATGTATAAATTGTTTGATGTCTAATAAGTTGAAAATCTGTTGTGCCTCTATAGAAATTAACCTTTCACTAGTGGTTGTTCCATTAATGCTCGTTAACATCCCGTTTGTGCTATCTTCTCTCATTACAGTACCACTACAATCTACTTAACACTAAATACTTTTTGGCGTAGTGTTAGAAATTATATCTGCTTATTCCCCAGTTTCCGTAGAATAAAATACTTTCTAGATACCAGATTCATATTAAGACATAGTCGAATACTGATTAATTCTTTGGTTACCATTTCTTAACATAAGGTGAACTTCAACTATGCTATACGGTGTTTCTCTATCTCCATAGTTTACAGGAACTGTAATGATGTATTTTTAAACATTTATTACTTCATAATGTGATGTTATATGGAATGTAGACAAAGAATCTAGAACACAAACTACTACGACTATTAGTACTACTACTATAATCACTTTGTATCCTTAACTAAGTAAAATATATAAAGTGTTACTCAGACTTTTAGAGAAAAATTCAAGTGAGAGTTAATTCAATACCATAATTTTGGAATAAAGGTCACTGACTTTTTTTCTGCTTTAAACCAAACTCATAAGTTTTCAATACACTTTTACTGCATATTTCTTAGTTTGCTTATTCCTCATTGTCAACGTCATCATCCCAACCTCTGGATTAATGCTCCCTTAAAAGATCCTGAAGTAGAACGTAAAAGTTTCTTTACTGATCTACGTAAACTACAATTATCCCTACGGCATAACTTACTTGGTATGTTTATTTTTATTGATAGAAAAATTTTATCTTCAAAAATTGCTAAAATATTTATTCATTCTAAGAATTTTAAAACAGATTTCAACATCTTGGTTAATGGTCAATGTATCTTTCGTTGTTTTTCATTACTCTCATCAGATATATCCCAACAGGAGCTTGAGATGAGTGCAATTTGTAAATTTTTTTACATAAACTAGTTATAGTATTGTGTTCACGTATTCAAGCGTTAGTTTGATGATGAATCAATTTAGAAAAAATATTATTGTATGTTCTACTACTTTCAAAACTCTTTGAAAGCAACAATTCTTTCAACCCTTTTATTTATCATAAAATACTACTTATCAATTTCGGGAATTTGTGGGGATTGCAGTATTTTCAAAGTTGAATTCACAAGTCAATCTAAGCTAGACCACTGTTGAAAACCTTTAGGGACTGGATGTGCGTTTCATCCTTGTGTGGGACTCCTCAGCGATGCAGATCCATGGTCCTGCTCACTGTACTTGAACCCAGGACCTTCGGTTCCGCGCGCGAACGCCCAACCTCTAGATCACTGGGCCGGCATCCGAAGGTGTTAATGCCTAACTTTAATCGATCCATGATCCTGTGCAACCGTTCATCCATTGTCTGAAATGGATAACTGTATTACAATTCATTCAACCTGTTATTGATCATAAAGTACTATTTACTTTAACCATGAAATATAAATGAATTTCATTTATTAGATAATTATAATTAACTTATTGTAAGACTAGAATATATTTGCGATAACTTACCATGCTAAAGAGAATTTTGTAAAGACTCGATTATGGTGGAAATAGCTAGACCATTCATGTTTGTCCTACAATGAATTGGCAGTGAAGACAATGTTCACTTAAAACAATATATCTTTTCTAATCAGTTTTTCCCCACATTTATTCAAATATGTAGATAGTGGTTGATTCAATTTATGTTCAATTTAACTTTACTAATTTTTTACTTGAATGTTTTTATCTGTCTTACAGATTGCCACAGTGAAGTGGGAGCATATAAAAATGCTAACTCAGAACAAGAGCAATACTTTATAGTAAGTTTATAATCTAACTTAAATTTATTAGAATTGTTATACATATGTTCTGGTTATCATTTTCATCCAATGATATACAATAAAGGAATTTTGTATTATTTATGGTTTTCTACTGATTCGGTTGTTTTGACAACCTACTTTCTGTTGCATAATTAAAAGAATCTACTCATATTAAATGGATGGGTGTATCTCATCATAATTATTATGTGATAACTTTTAAGTATGAAAATTCCTAACTGTTAACTGTTACATAAATGGTATCATAACTGAAAACTTACTTGTGACCTATTCTTCAACTATAATTAATTTTATTATATATTTTAAAACAAATGGTCAGTTTCTCATATTGTACAATAAATTGCATATGTACAGTAAATGTAAAAATTGTCCAATAAGTTAACTTAAATAAGGAATTTCACTTAAAATACCTTACTTCCCTAAATCTATCTTGCGGACAAATCTCATTTTCAACTATATATATATATATCTTGACTTGTGAATTGTTTTTTCAGTGTCTGGAATTTCGCTTTGATGTACTAATTGCACTTTTGTAACAGATTTCTTTAAGTTTTGCTTTTCTTTACTTCTAAATTCAACGATATTTATATATTACTAGTGACATTGTTTATAATTAATATAAAAAGTTTATAACTTTAAAGCAAGGATTCCATACAGTAGTAAATTTAGCAATACTAATGGTAGGAAAGAAAAAATCCATGCATACACCTTGTTTGAATGGTTTATATTTTAATATCTTTTTGGTTTACTTAAACGAAATATAGACGATCATCGTCGATAGAAACTTTTTCTACATAGACTAACTAAAATAATCACCTATTAATCGTGTAGTATACATTCCTTCCTTTTCATAGTCGAACATAACTTTTTTAATACTTTTCTTTGTAGACCATAAATATCAAGTTTATTTTATATACGTTAATTTTCATTTCTCTTTTATTCACCTTATTACATTGTTAAAAACAAAATCTCAAACTTATATTGTTAAATATCAGACCTCCAAGTTTGTAAGTCAAATACCTAACATTTGTATGAATGTAGACTAGTTTTTATCCTGAAGAATTGGAATAATACTTAAATGTTAAACAACGATTTAATACAGTTTAACTTAATGGCACAGATATGTGAACATTTATGCACAAATTCTCTATTTCTTTCAATTTGTTGAATAAACACTTGCATGTAAAATTGTTCACAAACAACAATCGTAATAGTATTAATGATTTTCGTAAAAAACCTTAATAATAGAATACTTTCAAATCTGATTGGACAAATTCTGGTATGTGTGAATTTCTCTATGGTAATATTTTTCTAGCACATACCAAATAATAAGCACGTGACTGGGAATAACGAGTGGGCAATAAGAATATCACAGTTTTACATCTATGTACATCTCCATGTCTTTATAGACAAGCATATGCGTATGTCTATGTTCGATACGAAAATTGAAGTCCACTTTATTATCATCTGTTAATCAAGTTTGCATTGACACTAACAGTGATCTCTAAGCTTAGAAATATAATACAGTTTTCTTAATCAATATTTTCTTTTTGGCAGTATTATATACAATATATCTTCTATGATGTTTTTCCGTGACAATGCTTAAAAATATCGAAAATTGGCAATTTTTTCTAAATTTGTATACTTCTAAGAGGGAGTGACTTTTTACATAATAACTGGTTGTTTTAATTCATTAACCTACCTAGTAGCTCCCAACTGTTCTAAATGATACTTTATTCTGTTTGCAATCCATATGAGACGAAATGACTTAGTTGTTAACATCTATTGAACCAGAAATTATGCAAATATTCTTATTGACCGGATCCATGGTTAGTAAATTATAACAACATATACATCATAAGAAATCCTCCGAATGGTTTTCTTGATTAGGAATGATTGGTACCGTCCGGTGTATGGTAACTCAGATTAATTTATGACTTCTACTAGTACTACTTAGTTTTAGTATAATTTGTGGTATTACATGTTCGTTGAATACCTATTTGTCTGTTACTTTTTTTCGGCCGTGTGTATATAAAGAAGAAACCAGTTATGAAACCATAGTCAGTACTGTAAGAATCGGTTATGGATTTCATGTGTGAGATTGTCGAAATGTCTTCGAAAGTTAGGATTTGTGATTGTTCTTGGTAGATTTCCTTTAAGAGCTTACATGATTACACTAAACTATAGTCACTGTACGTGGTTTTCTCCCAATTCTATTCCGCTCATTTTGTCTGTATAATCATGAATAACCTTTACTTCAGATGATTAGTATGTTTTCTACTAATTTTTATTAAGATTCGGATGACCGTTAAGGGGTGTCTTTTGGCTAATACTTAGATTAATAGCACCATCTTATGATCTTAACTACTGCAAACCAACATTTCCATTGAGACCCTATGTATGTGATATCTTGAACTTCTATTTACTTGCTGTTTTAATATTTTTGCTTCTCGATTTCCTTTGTTTTAACTTTTTCTTAGAGCCGGTTTCGATATTTGAAATTAGAGTCTCTGATGGAAATGATTTATGGTTTAGATCAACTGTTCTACCAAGATCTTCATGCTTTAGTGGTATCCTTTGAACAAGAAAGAATGTCAGTAGTTTCTCACATGTTTGCAATTCGACCACCAGAGAAAACCTTCCCCCAGTTTACAGATCCTTAACTTAACCTTCATTTATACTTTAATTCTTTAAGACACTCTAAAGTGTTTGATTTCTTATTCATTCACTTTTGTATAAAAATCTGTTTACTATTTATTTCTGAATAAATACACTAATTATGGACTCTTAGTAAGAATTTTCGCAGGTTTTAAGTGTTTAGACTTTCATGTTGACTAAGCAGTTAGTTATAGTGAGATGAAACTTTTGGTAAAAAACTGAATATTTGCTTAAAGTTTCAAATATATTCTATACTCCCACCAGAATTCCTTCATTTTGTGTTGAAAACAATTATCAGGGGTTAGTTGTATCCCCAAGATTCATTTAATCTTAACGCCCCTAAATGCCCTGGCACTGCCGAGGGTGGAGAGGGTCAACTCTCTCTCTCCAAATGCTCTCACATGGCCACATGTATACAGCCACTACCAGGGAAGTCCTACCCACTGCCGTCTCGTGGCTGCGGGTATTGTTTACGGAATTAAGAGGACGACAAGCGAATGTCCGGCACTCTGACCGGGTTTGTGAACACAGAGGATCCACCTACGGGAGTTGGAAAACCGTGATTCTAAACCAATGGTGCACATGGGATCCAGGGTGCTGAAGGAACAAGTGGCGCATAAACTGATCGTTGGTCACCGGCTACCATGGGAGTACATTTCCTGACGTCGCTCCACTGCCTTATGGATCAGATGTTTGTGTCAAAGGCTCTGAGTGTGGCCCCCTAAGAAAACACCTACTTCGGTCTGGGCGCCCGGGCAGTATCACAGCCCACACACAAATCAAGTGACTTGTATGGTGCATATGAATTTGATGCCACCTTGTACCAATATTTATGTGTTCAAATAAATAAATTCCATGCGTCTCGGGATTTTAATTTACCATTCCCTTAAAAGCCTTTCCTGACTAATCGAAAAGTAATGGAGTCGTTTCACTTTTATTAGTTACCAGAAAATTGTATTGATACTCAACTGCTATAATTTTTAGAAAATGTTCATCATAATTCATCTTTGAGTGGCTTCAGTGTGCTCTGTTTTCCATACATGCATTGACATGCCATGAGAAGATACCAAATAAAAGTTTGATGTTTTTACAAATACTTAGTATGAATATTAATTATTACTAATGCACAGTTTGAACATATGGTTACCAAAATTATGGTATACCGACACTTTTGAGCGACAAGAGATTGAAGCTATCACTGAATAACAGCAGTCCATTCACATAAACTGTCTACAGTCCATATGATTAGTTTGGATCCTAAGGATACTGAATGAAAATTAGTTTAGAGATATTATTCATCTCGACTTGTCAAGATTATATTGTTACTGTACAACAGCCTCTAGAACGCGCTTTGAGATGAATGACATCTTTTATGAATAACTTTTTCGATGGCACTTTATGTTATGGGCTAAACAATCAGATCAAAGACAGTGGACAATAGAATTTTGCAGGGAACTTCAAATGTAATGAACTGTATTATGAGATAACTCAACAGTGCCTATATTTTGTTCTTAAGATGCTTGGAGTCGATAAGCACCTTGCTTTTGCAAATACACACTTAGTACGATTTATTGTGGTAAATAAGTTGTGGGAAACACGTGGTGCTGACGTATATTGTATCTCAAACGGCAATTACGAGCGTACTTCATGTGGTTTAGGAAATTTCCAAGGATGTTTGTTATGTCAATCTAGAGCACCCATGGATTAAAATCTAATCAATACTGAAGAACTGCCTATTTATATGCCGTTCATACAATCATGGACTACCATCTACACGAATGATTGAAGATCTTAAAGCTTACAATCATCGTTCATAGACGTTATTTCATGAGTTCAATAACAGGTCTACACTATAAATGTTGAGTTAATACTATCACAATTAAATGACCATATTCTGCCTTACAAAGACCGTCAAGTTTAGATAAAATGGAGGAGCTTTGTATAGAACGAACCCCAATCGGAGTCTATATGTACGATTAGTGAACTCATTAAACTTTATCTACCGCACAAAAAAGAGTGTATATACACATATATTTCAATTATTTGGGTTTTATGTCGTAGACCATTCGTTTCTATTACCAGCTTTCTAATTAGCCGACGTTCTTCCCGGGATCAACCACGAAGTATGGTATCGATTACTTCTGCTTGACTCCACGCTGTTTTTGCTTAGGTGTGATGATTTCGTTACAAACAATAATCGGCGAGCTACTAAGCCCCATTTTTACTGAAATTTACAGAACAGTAAGTGAGACACACAATTAAATAACTTCTATATTACACAACACACATTGCTTTGCGTTTTCGGCACAAAAAACTGGTTTCCTGAGTAAAGTCTAATCAATCTACAGACAAAAGTCATTCGGAGAAATAAAAATAGAAGGTATTTAGGACATATTTATATATGGAAAATAGGATGATATATTCACTTGATCTAAATAATTTACTTGTAGTCTGTTCATAAAAATGCAAGCTACGAGACACTTTTAGGCCAGTGAATTTCTAGTTCAAGGGGTATTTTGATAGCTATATAATGAATCGCTTACCACAGAGTAAAATGACTTGAAGGTTAAGTGTCGGTACTTAAAGCGAAGTGCTCGACTAATAAGTGTATGTTTTCTACCAGTCTATGCGATCTCTAATATTTTCTACATGGTCTATCATGTATTGAATAGGGTCGTCTGGCTGAAATAAAGCTATTTCGTAAACGAGTTTCTTAGTCATCTGAAAATTTGTTAGGTGAATTATACTTGCATAAGTCTCAAAATCCCATGTTTCTCCAAGTAAATAATTGCTGTAGATTTAGGGTCTTCAGCGGTTCTACCAACTTCTGATGGACCTAGAAGACTATCAAGAGTTGAGTCCATAACTTTTGTTTTTGTTGCCGAGTCGTTTCTATTGTCTTTCGTACAATGTTCCATATTTCTCATATTTAGTCATTCGAAACCCTTTGTTTGTCAGTCAGAAATAAAGGACTATTGATTCTGCACATTCAGAATAGGCATATAATAACCATAGTGGATAAATTGAGAGAAATTTAGCAAACAGACAATAATTCCAAAAAATTATTCTGTCACTGGCTGTGGTTCAACGGTTTTCTGGGAGTGAATCTTCAGTGTATGAATGGTCAATAAAACACCTTTTGTCACTTTTCACTGGGGGTCTGGAAAGTATTTGAGGTAGGACTGATCCTTTATGAGAGAAGTTTGATTTCATGGTGTTTGCTTTTTGATATGCACTTTGTCGAAGATTGTTTCACGAGGTACAGCTTTAGCATTCAGGTTAAACTTTTCTATGGAGATGACATAAGCTGGTTTGCTTTCCGTATACAACTACTAGGTTTCATACTTTTCACCTACATTTCAGTCAGAACAGTCATCATAAGATTTATTTCCTAAACCTATAACTACGCAGTTGTTCCGGGACCTGACGTCAAGTGTTTGTGATTTTTCGATAGGATTAGTTCACAAGGTGTCCAAAATTAGCAAGGCTATGTAACAACTGGAGTCGGTTACATAGGTCGGCTGGACATGTGACGATGCCTGAATATATGAGTGAGGCTATATTGTGAGATACTCTTTTGTTAAAATGTGTAAAGCCTTCATGTCACGTTTTGTATGGTAAAAAATCTATGTTTTTGTTTAAAGGTTGTGTCAGCTCATTTTTTGATGCTTTTGCTTGTGAACTCAAAACCCATTTTGATTACCATAAAATTAGAGTAATTTATTTTGTCTACAGTTTTATTTTTGTGGCCTTACCCTCGCCTCTGTACAGTTTGCTAGTGACTCTTAATTTAGTATGATTCAATCACTATGCAAAAATAGAACCTAGGCTGAGCGATTGTATGCTTGATACTCCGAATCGACCACTTACAAAATATAGAAATCATTCTGATCATTGATTTCAAAACCTAATGAGAAGATAAAGTTTACGGTTCTGAGGTCAGTTTCGAACAGCAAGGAGTAAAGAGGGAAGACGTATTATGTTGGTTCGGGAGATTTCAGTATTTGATCCACTCTTTCCTACGATCTTAAGAACAGACAAAAAAGCTCTAAACACCCTTTCTGTTCACCGAGATTTCGGAGTTATGAATTTTGAAATTTCGACAGAATCACTTGATGAGAGAATCACCATCAAAACAACTATCACTTCAGGATCAGACATATGAATATAATTATTACGACTTCAAAAAGCTCACCTCCCAGAAGCTCAAAATTCGTTATCAGTTTTACTTGACATAATCTGTAATAGCGTTATATCCAGCTGAGCCATAACTCTTATTTGAGAATGAATTTATTCGCTTTTATTTCAGGGAATCTGAAATCTGTAGTCAAATTTTAACTTGCTTGTGTGAGAGTTGATTAATTCAAGATGGTGACAATACTAACAGATGTAATGTGAAGTAACAGTCTTTTCATCTCTTCCACGTGGTGAAGTTGTGAAGGAGGGAGTGTTTACAGAAGTTGCCAGCACTGTGCAAAGGTTCAGGAAATGTTATCGGAGTAAAGTGAAAAAAGGAAATATGAAAATCAGTTGATGATTACGACACTGTTATTTTCCTTAAAGCGTACAAAGAAGACAATGATGATTAAGGCGATAATTATATTTTTGTTGTAGGGGAAGTTAAAGATAATTGAGACCCCTGAATGATGTAGTGGCTGTTGCCATGTCAAGCCCACACAGATTGTTCAAGCCTCTGGACAGATCAATCTATTCCTTGCTCCCAAGTCACGTCTTTACCCTGCCACTTATTCGCCTATTACCGCTGACTGCGTTTTAAATGATCGTATGTGTACCAATTGCTTATCCCATTCATCATGTGTCTGTGACTTATTTTCCTCTAATCATAAATATTGAGTCACTCTTGGTTAAATGAAGTTGGCTCAAATGCGTTCAACGGTCCGTTTCGCCTGACACTCTCCCCATAGCTTCTTTCACTGTGTTTCTCTGACCGTATGACTGTATAGACGATTGCATGAGGTGTACGTATTTAATTTCGTTATTTACTAGAGTGATTTTAGTCGATAACTATACATAAGGGTAGCTGAGATGCATGTTTCGATAATAATCACCATACGATCCAATCACAGTCAGATAATGGGCCACCGAAATTAGGTTTGGAGAGTGGAATGATCATTTCACATCAGTTCATGTTGTGGTCTGGTAATGACCCCTGACCGAATGTGTTCGTTTTGTTGTATTCGTTGAAAATATCAAGATGATCGTCAATGTCTAGTATTGTGAAAGTTATTTGTATAGTGCATATG